GCTGGCAGCAGTGCATCTAGGCTTGCCCTGCGGGACAAGTAGCAGGGCTAGGGAGTTACCCTTGCCGAGGGCGTTGAGACTAGCTGGAGTGCCTGAACCTCCACCACTTCGATCGGCAGAGTACCCATTAGGGTTACCAAACCTTAGTGCCAAGCACCAAGCCCGAGTTGACAGTGCGAATGCCTTGTACAAGCTTGCAGTTGACATAATACTTTGGTGTTATCGGAAAGGTATTGTGATCAGCATAGAGAACCCAGCTAACAGTTGGTTGTGGGCAGTGCTGGTCAAGGTGGCGCGGGAACACTCAGAAGAGGCAGCACACGCCTTGAATCTTTTGCAGATGATACAGTTTCATGCATGCTGCCATGGATCAGCCAGGAGAAAGCATACAGGCTGGCTTTCGACAGCGGGTGTCTACGCCGCATTGGAGGCGACATGTCGTAACGATCACAGCCATGAACCTTGGGGAGTGCGATGGCAGGCTGGCTCTTGGGTTTTCGATACATCTACAGAAGCCCATTACCCTGCCTTGCTTGCGCAAAGAGCCACAGAGTGTTTGCTGCGTTTTTGCCATGCTCAAGGGCTGTCGGTGACAAAGCAGTTGAGGTTGCATGACCAGTCGGTCGCAGTGCAGGGTAAGCAATCGAAAAAGCACCGCCCAATTGTGCCGGAATACCATCGCATTGTCTCTGCAAAAGCTGGTATACCCCAACCTGAGGGGTCAAAGATTCTTCCTCCTCACTTTGCGGGGGAAGTAGGGCACGAGGAGGAGATTGGGGCTGGCATGGAGAAAGCGAGCAGTGCTGATACAGTCAAGTTTGGTATTTATCATACCCCCAAGCAGTTCCTTTCCATGGCCAAGAAGGCGAACCACCCTATGGATTCAGTTGACCATTTGGAGGAGGTGACAAAATATGCACTTGATTTCAATTTTCGTTATCCAGAGCATGTTGTCAAGTTGGAGCGGAGGAAAAACCTGCTTCAGGCAAAACTGTTGAGTGTGAAGCTTGCGGACGAAGAAAGCAGGTTGCATGCGTCTTTGCCGCCTCCACTGCAGAAGGTCCTCGAGGGGAAGAAGTTGCTTGTTTGGCAGGCCTTGCTGGAGAAATTTGGGTATGACGACATGGGAGTCGTACCCTTCATGATGGAAGGGGTGAAACTGGTAGGCCGACATGATGCCCCAGAGTGCTATCCACAGATGTTGAGGCCAGCCACTCTGGTGGCTGAGGATCTTAGTTCCTCCTCTGTCTGGCGCCGCAAGGCGATTGTTGGCAGGGTAGGCACTTCTGACCCTGCGCATGTGGCTCATTTGGAGGAGACGGCCTTGGAGGAATTGCAACTGGGTTTTCTTGAAGGGCCGTTTGAGAGTGAGGCCATGGTGACGGCCTACCTGGGGAGAAGCGACTGGTGTGTGGTCCGAAGATTTGTGCTTGTTCAAGGTGCAGAGATGAAACTGCGCCCCATCGACGATTGCTTGGAGGCTCAAATCAACCATGCATTCACAGTGTCTTCTTATTTGAAGTTACAAGACATTGACTACATTGCTGGCTTGGCTCTCCGAATAGCTGAGTGCTTGGCTGGGTCGACAGAGGGCCCAGGAGTTGAGCCTTGGGTTGGAAAATGCTTGGATCTTAGCAAGGCATACAAGCAGCTTGCGGTCCACCCCAGTGACAGACACCTGGCAGTCATTTTCTATCACGACAGTGACGGCCGCCCCAAGTTCTATGTGGCCAACTCCCTTATGTTTGGATCAACGGCGGCAGTATACAGTTTCAACAGGGTCTCAAGGAGTTTGTGGTTCCTTTTCAACAAGATGTTGGTCATACCCAGCGGGGTCTTTTTCGATGACTTCCCCATGTTTTCTCCCAGTGGCCTGGCGAGTGACGCCGACTTTGCCGCCAGCGAGCTGCTGGATCTGTTGGGCTGGAAGCATGCCAAGACTGGCACTAAGGCTTTTCCGTTTCAACCAAAGTTTCAAGTGCTGGGCTGCGTGTTGGACCTGGGCAAGGTGGACCAGGGTTATTTCTGGCTGGAAAATAAACCAGGACGGATCGACAGGTTGGTTGCGCTTCTTCAACAGATTCGTGCAGACGGCCAGATGACCAGACATCAGGGCCAGGTGATCCATGGGCTGATGCGCTATGCCTGTGGGTTCTTCAGTGGAAAGTTTTTGCAGCAGGTCAGCTCAGAAGTGTTGGCCATTAGCGGAGTTGGGGGTCGCAAAGGCCCGGCTGAAGTTGCGTCGTTTTGCGACTACGCAGTGGCCATGTTACAGGCGGCAAAACCGAGGTGTATCAATGTCAGCTTTGAGAAGACCCCTGTTTTAATTTTCTCAGATGGCTGCTGGGAAAAGAACTTTGCAGGCATTGGTGCAGTGGTGCTTGATGCCGCCACAGGGCAAGGCTTTGTTTGCCAGGGATGTGTCCCGGATGTGCTGCTGGACAAGTGGAAAGTGTTGGTGGGGGATCACCTGATATGCCAGATAGAGCTTTACGTGATGGTGTTGATCAGGTGGCAGTTCAGATCCCTCCTACACAACAGACGTTCCATCTGGTGGGTTGACAATGACGCAGCGCGTTACTGTACAATCAAGGGCCAAAGTGCGAGCCCCTCCATGAGGGATTTGGTGCGAGAGTTCTACGCTGTCGACGCTGACAGCCCGTCCTACAGCTGGATTGAGAGGGTGCCGAGCCTATCCAATATTTCTGATGGGCCATCTCGTCACAATAGTGCTGAAGCCTTGAAAATCCTTGGAATCGATGCGCTAACTGAGTTTCAGCACCCTGAGGAGCTTGTCAGACGTTTGAAATAGCTGGCCTGAGTTGAAAAGGGGGTATCTTGCAGTCCAGCTGGAAAACAATCCATACAGCTATCTCAAGATAGCATCAAGTTGCCAGAATGGACTTGAACCTACCCAAGCAGCTAGCACCCTTGTGCGAACGTGGCTACTTGAAACTTAACCCCGGATCATTCAACGCAAAGGCGTGAAAAAGCGAAGCGACCGAGTGCATCAAATCCACCGTTTTCCACATGTTCAGTTTTTGTGATTTTTGCAGTGATGTTTTTGATGTTGTTGAAGCCACCTGCAGTGTTCAGACATGTCAGACTCAGTTTTTGGATGTTCACTGTGGTTTTGGGTTCTTGTTTTTGGTTTGCGTATATGTGAGGGTATGTTTCGTGTTTATATTTTTATATACCCCACGTATGATACGTATGCGCTTGCGTAGGATCAGGACGCGATAAGGGTTGAGAGGGTTTATTGGGATACAGACTTTGGTTGTGGTATAGGAGAAGGGAATTTCAGCGAGCTGACAGTACTTTCTCTCTAGCCACCCAAACAGGACTATACTAGGTATAGTCCGGTCTGTATACCTAATTCTCTCTTCCTCTACCCTTCCTTACGCGTCCTCTACACACGCCTGCGCAAACCTGAAAACCAAACAATGAAACCCAAAACAGTTGAAATCCAAACCGTTGAAATCTTTGTTTTTAAGTTTTAATTTGACAACTGCAATCTTTCAGAAAGAATTGCACATGTTGGGTTGTCATGTCAGAGTATCAAAGATATATCTGAAACTGTTAGATCTGATGACTATTTGTTTCTGTGTAGCCACTCATGTTTAAGGGTGTGGTGGGAGGGTCGTCGTTCATTTCTTTGCTATGGGACTTTTCCTGTCCCACCCTATCAATTCCCACCCGAAAATCCCATATCAAGGGGGGTATCTTGCAGTCCAGCTGGAAAACAATCCATACAGCTATCTCAAGATAGCATCAAGTTGCCAGAATGGACTTGAACCTACCCAAGCAGCTAGCACCCTTGTGCGAACGTGGCTACTTGAAACTTGCAGTCCAGCTGGAAAACAATCCATACAGCTATCTCAAGATAGCATCAAGTTGCCAGAATGGACTTGAACCTACCCAAGCAGCTAGCACCCTTGTGCGAACGTGGCTACTTGAAACTTAACCCCGGATCATTCAACGCAAAGGCGTGAAAAAGCGAAGCGACCGAGTGCATCAAATCCACCGTTTTCCACATGTTCAGTTTTTGTGATTTTTGCAGTGATGTTTTTGATGTTGTTGAAGCCACCTGCAGTGTTCAGACATGTCAGACTCAGTTTTTGGATGTTCACTGTGGTTTTGGGTTCTTGTTTTTGGTTTGCGTATATGTGAGGGTATGTTTCGTGTTTATATTTTTATATACCCCACGTATGATACGTATGCGCTTGCGTAGGATCAGGACGCGATAAGGGTTGAGAGGGTTTATTGGGATACAGACTTTGGTTGTGGTATAGGAGAAGTGTTGGTTGAGGTCGAAACGACTGCCATCAGCTATCTCCAGAAGGCCGAGGCAGGCATCCTTTTGAAATCCAAACGCAACGAATATCATGGACAAGGGACCATGAAGGCTCTGGAATTCGAGAACGGCAACCTCCGAAACAAGTTCGGATCAGAAGCGATGAAAATTGTTTAAAAGGGGCATGTGAGATCGAGTTTGAGCAGTTTCTGATGTCAGCTGTCATGAGTTTTGCACTGGTTTCATTTTTCTGCATGACATGTCTATGGGTTTTATCCGCGGAAACCATTGTGATCTATTTTGTAGTTGTGTGAAGGGTTGTGCATGCATTGGTAGTTGAATGTGAGTGGATTTTGCAAGTTAACACAAGTCTGTAATTTGTTTTTTGTCTGAGACATCAGAGTGGAATTGACTGCACATTGCCTGTCAAGATGTGCGGCACGCATCTTGGGGTAATAGTGAGTGTGGTGTGTATGGAAGTGTGAATCATCTATTAAGGTGTGAGGCACGCACCTTAGGATGAGAGAAAGATGTAGTTGGGGTTGGTCTTGGTTGTGGTTGATTGAGTTGGGGTAGTTAGCAGCAATGGGTATTGAGAGTCACTTGGAACTTGAAAAGTCTTGGCAACAGTATGCCCAAGCTGTTCATCCCACCGGGATTGTAGCAAAGAGTGCAAACAGCTCTGATCCGTAGAGTAGAGACCTTCATGGCGGCAGCAAGATCAGAGGCTTTGACGTCTGGTGCTGTAACTCCCATGGAGATGGCTCCGGGAGGAAATACAGCAATGCCAGGGACGCATGAGGGCTCTGGATCTGAAGCTGGAGAACCCGGGAACCAAGAGGATCAGACCAAATCTCCAGTGGCTGAAGGCAAAGACAACGAGGAAAGAGGAAGATCAAGGTCGCCACGACCTAGATTTGATGTGAGAGATCCGGATGCTGGGAATCCTGTTGAAGTACTTGCGGCATGCTCCTCCTTGGGAGTTGGGATTGTCAGCATGGTTGGTGCTTTGAAGTCCAATGGAGAGAAGATGGACAGTCAGTCTCATTGGACAAAACCAGGCACTGCAAAGTGATCTTTTGAAGAGCATGGATGTCCTGGCAAAATCCATCAATGGTATGTCACACTCCATTGAGTCACTCTCTGGAGGTGTTTCATACAATACATGCGCGTAGGCGCACTGACTGGTGAGATCCAGAAAATCCGAAAACACATCGAGTGGAGCCTGAATAGGACACTCTCAGATATGCAAAAGGAGAGTCTTGCAAAGAGCAGTGAAGATTCTGGAAGAATTGCGTCTGCTTTGGAGGGACTATACGAAGGCATGGACAAGTTCCAAGAGAAGAACCTTCGGGAGATGGCGCGCAAGATGGAGGCAGTGCGTCAGGTTCCAATCACAGAGAAGGGTCCTCGGGAGCTTGAGTTCGGGCCAGCTATCCCACCCACAGGATTCAGCGGCACACCCAATACACCCAATATGGGTGGTGCGGCGAGCGGTCTGCTTCAACCGCCTTTGGCGCCGCCTCAACCTCCGCCGGCTATGCCAGCAGCAACTTTTGTTGGCTGCCGGCACGGGCCGGAGAAGCCCCTATGCTGCACCCGGTCAACATGGAAGTACCCTTTATGAAAGGCACATCGGTCAAGGTGATTGACGAGGGCACTGGCAGAGTGAGAACCGTTTCCCCAACGCGCCAATTACATCCCAGCACGGGGACGGCAGCTTTTGCCCCTTTGGGGTATATGTGCCTGAAGGGAACTTCAGATTTCAGGCGTATCTATGCCCTGTAAAGGAAGGATATGCCTGAGATGGAAAAGGGTTTAAGGTTTAAGGTCCTTTTCCAAGAATTCGAACTGACCCGGATGGGGAGAGAATAGCTTTCGAGCTTGAGGTTAGCTCCTCTTTGGGATTTGCGCTGTAGAGACCTGCGCACAGTGCGACTTGGTTCGATTGCGAGTTTAAAAGGGGGCCATGCCTGATGGGACAAGTTGGAGTTTGAAGTGTCTTGGAACGGTGAATTCTGAGATCATTGCAAAGCTTGCGTTGTTTCTCGAGTGAAAGCGGATGCTTGCCAAACCTGTTTGCATGTTGTGAGGCGTGTGAGATTGTTCAGAGTTTTCATATGTCTCTCGATGATGATGTAAGGAAATTGCAACGTTCTGAAAGGCATTCAGAAACCGGAGTTGCCAACAAATCTGAGGGAGACATCATGAAGAAAGGTTGAAGTTGTTTGTGATTGACTTGATTGTGTTGATGGGCATGTCGGAACTAATATGTTCATGGTTTTGAGTTTTTGTTGCATGAGGCACTCAACTTCACTGTCGGGAATGCGGTCATGAGCACATGGTACAATTGAGTTGTCATGGTGAATGATGAAGACCTGGGAAGAAGCTCAGAAGGAATCTGAGTCTAACTAGTGTGAAAACTTCCAGGAAATCTGATACCATTGACGTAGAAGTATTGTACTTTCATGTGATGATATGACGCTTACGCAGGAAGGATCAGACGTTGAAAGGGGGACAGCGATTTTTTGTGTCGATCTTAGCTAGTCTTAACCCTAACTGTGAACGATTTCATTCAGAACATTGAGAATTCATTTTTGCAGTGACTGTGAACGTTACTTTGCAGAAGTTTTGAATTTAAGATGAGTTGCATGAGGGATACTGACGCATTTGCGTTTTGTTTTCATACGCCTACCTTCTTTACGACGGTGCGGATTAGCTGAAACAGTTGGCCTTTGTTTTCGCGGTGACTCCAATCGTGCGACGTCTGTCTTCGTCTTGGGTCTCGTGTGTGTGTGTTTGTTCTGTTTTTTGTTGTGTTGTTTTGTTTGTTGTAGGGTAGGATGACAACAGCACTGTAGATCTATCGTTATTAACGCCATGGTTTATCCGAAGAGCTGGAAGTCGGAAGACAAATCTGGTACGGGAAAGACTTTGAAGTCTATGGACTGAGTTTGGATTCCTACAGCTGGTTACAAGGATTTGTATTTGCAACATTGTAAGTCATGAAGATCGTCATGACTGGAGTTACGTGGAGTTTTACTTTCATCTCTAAACTGAAGAATCCATTTTTTGTTTGGAGCTTACGACATTGAGTACGAGTTAAACGAGATGAGTTTTGGATGATGTTTCATCATCAATCTTTTGTTTTGGAAGAGCGACGTATTCTTCTTTCACTATTTTTGATCACGGATGTGATCTCGGCCCAGAGATATTTTTTTGAATCCAGTGTGGACACAGGATTGAACATCCGTACAATGTAGTGAGATGGGATGCCATGTCGAAAGGGGGTGTGAAAGTTGATCACCCTATGGGTGACCTGTAAGGGTGACCTACAGGTGGCGACATGTCATTCTTCATCGTGAACGTCCTCCACGCGTTCGGTTTTGATACAATTTTGTGCACGGAAGATTGGTGGACAACATTCAGTATGTTGTTGGAAAGGTCTGTGCATTTGACCTGCAGTTTGGACACGATATTCTATTGTCCTTTGAATCTGCAGTCTTTTATGACACTCAGAATGTCAGTGATCGATGTTGAGCTGGAATGTGGCGTATTGATCAGTTCTACATCTTATTTCGGATTCTGCTCGAATCCGGTACAGCCGTAGGCGGACTTAAGCTGAAGGTACCTACATTGGTTTGACATTGCGATTTCCGAGCGTGTCTTCGACACTGAGCAGTTTGATCTCTCCAAGTGATGAGAGCATACAGCTGGAAACTCTGGGAGAAGAGTTTGGATTAGCTGGAAGCATCTGATGGGGAGAACATATCAGACTTTGAGAACATATCAGACTTTGAGTTGTGGACAGCGAGATGCATTGGCGTTGTGAGGACAATGGCCATATTGGCGCATCTTACTTGTCTGAGATTTTTATGTGATGAGATGCTTCGGTATTGTGAGGACAATACCTACATCATCGTCATCAGGATCTACAGATCAAACATCTGGTCTTGGGTTATGTGTTTTCTCGTCTTCTGAGACGACTTTGCTTCACATTGTGGATTGGCTATTACAGTGGTCGGAAGACTACAGCGATACAACTGTATTTGGCTGACCTGCATTGAGAATGTAGAACAGAATGGCTTATTTCTACATTGAGGTTCGAAGCTGTGAGATGCTATCTCTATGTGGAAAACCGATTTAGAGATGGGACTTCGTGTTCCAACTATGTTTTGTATCCAGAAGAAGGTTGTAGAGAATACTTTGTATGAACCACTTCGTTCTTGAAGAGCTACGCGACTTGTTTAGATGTCTAGTAACGCCTAACAGCGTTAGGTTAGCGCTAGCGAGATGGTTATTCACGTTTGGATGAGAACCAGTTTGTTTTGAGAACTTTTGGAAGTGTTTCGATGTTTTTGCCACTAGGTGAGTTTGTAAATTTGTAGCAGCTGGAATTGTTTCAACAAACCTTTCTTTGAAGAACCTGAGGTTTGTTAACTGGAAACCTGGAATCGAGTTTACCAGTTGAGACATCGGCTCAAGGGAGTGGTGTCAGAAGTTCATTTAATGAACAGAGCTGCAGTGTCACCTAGTTTAGCATAAGACAGACCGACAGAGGGAACTCTTTGTCTTCTTCCTTTGCCTTTTGTTTTGTTTGTCGTGTTTGTGCTTCCCTGTGACTGATCGTGTTGCGTCTGGAGCGAAAAGAAGGAGTCCGACGTCAGCATGTGGGAGTCGAGGGTGAAACAAGTTTCTTGACACAGCAGTGTTCTAGTGTAATTAGGTTTGCGACTACATGCTCTGCGCTTGTGTTTGACGTTCGCGTTTTTCCCGCGTAGTCCTGTAGAAATTTTGATGAAGCGTTGGATCTGACTTCAGATCTGTGCACGGCGCTTTTTCACAGGCAGTCTGTCAGCGACACAAGAGTGGCGCCATACCAACTGAGCCACGAGGACGACTTGTCACTCCTACCATCAGAAGGCATGTTCCAAAATGATCGGTTGGTTGTGTTCGTGGATCACGATGCAGTGCTGCACATGCTGGTGTCAGGCCGTGGGGGAAATCGCATAGACAATTTGATCTTTCAGCGAGTATTGTCCTGGGAATGTGACTCCAGCATTCTAGCTTGGTATGAGCGTGTGCCAAGTTCAGTAAATGTGGCTGATGCTCCGTCAAGAGGCGATGTGTCAAATCTCGATCCATCTCTGGAGATAACCGTAAGTGTTGCGGATGTTCTGGATGACCTCTTTGAAAGCAGTCCCTCTGAAATGTAACAGGGGGAGGAGCAGAGCGACAAATCCCCATGTGCAAAAACAATGTGCTGTGCGAGTGTTGTTGTTCACCGTCACTTGAGCTGCAAACATCGCAAGAACAAGAGCTTTCTCCTGCAGGGATAAAACCTTGTTTGAAAGATGTGCAGAGTGCGCATTCACACATCAGCTCATGTGTCACGTGTACATGTTTGCGTTGATTTGGTTCAAATTTTTCATATCCAAATCAATTTTTTTCCCTCCCTCCCTCTGCCTTCATGTTTTTTCCCTGACATGTTCGTAACTCCACCAGTCATCTTCCATGTATTTTCTTTCACCTCACCATGACGTTAGCACGGCCCGTCGAGCCCATGTCAATTCAACAAACTGTGGCTCCATTATTATCCATTATTGGCTGTAGACGGAAAACTGCAGGAACTTGAAAGTATCTTCTACGACCTTCACGATATGATGGACGACTTCACTGACTGGCAAGTCCCAAGTGCTGTGTTGCCCCTACAACAAGCCATTTTCCAAATTCGTGTCACGATCATGGAACTCAAAATACACAGATTGAAGACTTTGTGCCAGTTCATCCGTTTTCTGCACCATCATTGGCAGCTGTATGGTCGACCACTCTATCTTGATTTGGATTTGGCATAGTAGAATCTTCACACTTTCAAGTGCTGTTTTCTTTATTGCTGGACTTGGGATAGCCCACATCAAGGGATGTTGGTTGCCTACCCAACCGTCCGGAGCAGAGCGACAAATCCCCATGTGCAAAAACAATGTGCTGTGCGAGTGTTGTTGTTCACTGTCACTTGAGCTGCAAACATCACAAGAACAAAAGTACATTCTGGGAGACCGTGCGTGCGGGATACAGATTCCGTCAGATTCTGGAGATTCTGCGCAACAAAGGGTCAGACCGGATTGGTCTATTGTCTTGGCTTACGAGTTCAAGCTGAGGAAAGAGGCCATGTAAAAGGTGTTAGCTGGGCATACATTGGCAGAGTCCCTGGAAGCTGTCAGTCGTGACCCTGATCTCAAAGAGGCCTACTTCACAACTCCAACGGCGCTCCATGCATCGATGCCTGAATCTCAGCCGAACAAGTTTGTGCGCCACAATTGAAAAGGGGGGCTTGGATCCTTCACTGGGAAGCAATCATTTGGCTTTTCAAAGGAGTAAGGGCAAGGGCTCCAAGGGAAAGAACAGGGGCAAGGCTGTGGATTCTAGGCTGAAAGGCCTGAGCTTGGCTTGGAGGACACCAGGTGGCGGTGAACTTTGTTTTGCATGGAATACAGGTGATTGCGACGGGTCTTGCTAAAGGGTCCATCAGTGCAGAGTTAAGGAGTGCTACGCAAGCCACAAAGCAGTGAACACGTCAAAGGCCAACAAGCGTCCTGAGAGGACAAAGGTGTAGACTTGCCCAGCGGGACTACACAGGAGAAAGAACTTCAGGTACTGAAAGTGATGTACCTATTTGCTAGAATGTCACCTGTTGGGGATGAGTCCCAATACGTGGCCCCAGTGCCGAATTTTCACAATATGAAATTTCACTTTGTGAGGGTTCCAACAAGGAGGCAGCATGGCCAAACAACTGGACTGCGGAACCTGTGCCATAGTAATGAGTGGCAAAACTGCCAACATTAAGGCGGGGTGAAACATATTTCCGCATTTGCAGTTGGGTACATTTGCATGTCAGTCATGTAGTTGTGCACATGTCACGGCACAAATCGAGTAGTGTACATCAGGATGAATTCTGAGGCGCTTTCGGTTCCAGAAAAGTTCGCAGAATCACTTGGCCCGGGGGCTGGGGTGGGGATCTCGCCTCGCGGTCTCTTGATTTGCTGCTTCTCCGTTGCCCTGTTGGTTGCCTCCTGCTTGCGTGTTCCTCTCTGTTTGTTGCTTACTTAGATGTTGCAGTGGAGCACTAGAAGTGATACAGGTTGAATGGTGCGAGGTTCAGCGTCAACTTTAGTTTTGGGTGTTCTTGTTTTGTTTTTGTTGTTGAAAAACAAATTGGGGGTTTCAGCCATCTTCGTTTGTTGTTTCATTTATATTAAAGGGAGGGGTAGATAGAAGAAACCGTCGTTGCAGTTGTCAGTTGTCATACATGTCAGTGCGTGTCAAAAAATACAAACGAAGAGGGTGTTCAGTGCGGTTATCGTCATGCAAACATGTAAATTCGCAAAAATTAAACTTGAGACAATCTCAATGGTCAGCTTGAGTTGCTCTGCAATCTCCAGGTGGTTACCCGCTCGGATAATGTTCTGGTTCAAATTCTAAATTTCGTATACCCGCCCTATACCCTTGTGATTCCAGGTGATGATGCAGCTCACTTTAGTGATCGAATAGTCTTGCTAGCATGTTCAGGAATTGAGATTCCGGGTCACAACTGTTTGATCCTGTAGCTTTATGTCTCTCAAGGGAGGGCGAGGTGGGTGCCGCTGTTACTTTTAGAGTTTGAAAGCGTGTAGGGGGTGTGCCATGGATGATGATTCTAGCAAAGCCTGTGTCGACCTTACTGTACAGGAAGATGTTGAAGATTTCAGTGAATGGTTGAGTGCTTCCATGGACGGACTTGCAACTACAACTGTTGATGCTTCTTTTGATTCACAGACTGATTTGCACGATGATGTTGCGTTGTTTACATATCAACCCTCCTCTTGTGATTGGCCTGTTGGCCACAGCGGCGAGCTTGAGAGAACAGAAGAGGTTTCAGTGTGTCCAAGCCCAAGCTTGGCAAATGAACTCAGTGTTGCTGAACCTTTTGCGGAGTCTGGACCTCAGCCTACAGTTGATGCATTTCAATGGCAACTTGGAGGAGCCGCAAACTTTGCACAGTTTTCACATCAGCCTAATGCTCTATTGTTTCCGTGGGAGACTGGCGTTTTTGGAGAAATCTTTGGGGAATCCAGACTTTTGGAGCTTCCTGCAACTCACCTGCCAGAGCCAGACTCGGCGCTGATGGAGCACATCATTGCGGCCGCAGAAACGTCAGACAGCAGCGAGCTTAAGCCGTTGGACTCTTGCTTTGACAAGGTTGTGAGAAACATGCAGGATTTGGAATATTTCGAGAGCAAACACAGACAGTTGGAACTGGCTTGCGGTCAGTGGCTTGAGCTGCTATCTTGCGATTGGTACGCAACTGGTGTGGGTGAGCATCTTGCAAGGGACTTGCAACGCGATACAACAGGCACTTCAGCTTTTGAGACTCTTAGGGCTTGTTTCGGCATTAAAAGTCCATCCACTCTTTTGAAGAGGGCTTCAAGTTTGAGGAGATACTTTAAGTGGCATTCTGGAGTGCGATCAGATGCAAACGATGTCGAGGTTAGCCCACTGCCTTTGGCTGAAGCTGATGTTTGGAGTTTCTTTCATTGGCTTGGAGAAGTAAGGTGTGAGAACAACAGAGGTTTTACCAATGCAGCTGCTTTCCTTGAAACGGTTAGATTCATGAAGTTCACCTTGGAACTACGTGAGGTTGATTCAATCCTTCAGTCTCGAAGGTTGTTGGGCTTCGCTGCAAGCGAGCGCCTCAAGAAAGGACCGACTCGACAAGCTGCTCCTTTGGAACTGGTGCATGTGCAGAGGCTTCATGAAGTTTTGGAACATGGTACCTGTGTTACTGACAGGTTAGGTGCAGGTGTAATGCTTGTTTGCATTTATGGCCGGGCAGGATGGTCTGACTTGCGATGCATTCATCACGTGGTGGTTGAAGAAGGCAGGAATGGTTTTCTGACCCTTTTCACCTCTGAACATAAGACCTCAGCTGTTGGTGCACGGCGAGAACAGTATTTGCCTCTGGTGATACCTTGGATGGGTGTAACTCATGATGAGTGGGTGCGCACCTTTCTACATGTTTACAAACAATGCGGCCTTGACATCACAAGGGTTCCACTTGGACCTTTACTCCCAGCTCCGAAGTTAGGAGGATCGTTTGGTGCACGCCCTTTGCGCACACCTGAGGCCGCTGATTGGCTTCGACTCCTTTTGCAGGGCACAGCAGACAGCCATTTGTTTCGGGCCCACTCGTTGAAAACAACTTTACTTGTTTGGGCTGCAAAAGCAGGGCTTGACAAAGAGGTGCGAGCAGTTCTTGTGCACCACGCTTCAGCTTTGCAAGGATCTGAAGTAGTTTACAGCAGGCACTTGCAAACCAGAGCGCTGCGAAAACTCAACATGCTGTTGCATAGAGTCCGCATAGGACTTGGGTTGGAAGAGGATGCTTTGGCTCCAAATCCTTTTGCGACACCTTGCGCAAGAACCCCAAAGCCGTTGGCGACACAGCCAGTTACTCCTCTACCTCCTGTGCCAGTTGCTGACTTGGGCGCAAATGTGATTGAGAAAGCAGCAGAGGAAGTGAATGACGCAGGAGACTTAGAGAGTGTCAAAGAGGAACAGCTGGACGAGGCGCAGATTTGTGCTGCAGCATCAAACATTTCCTTGTTTGATTTGAACATGGTTGAGAACGGAGTTGTTGAGATTGACAGCTCTTCTGGGAGCAGCAGCGATAGTGACAGCTCGTCCTACAGCAGCGACGAAGGCAATGTCAAAAGACCAGATGTCAATGCTTTCATTGAGCATGTCCCTGAAGGTTTTGAGTTTCACAAGCACAAGAAGAGCGCAATAGTTCACAAAGTGAAATGTGGCCACAAAGTGGCTTCTTGCGGAGTGCAGCTCTCGGCAAACTTGCAGAAGATGCCACAGGAGTTGAAAGTGCGATGGCCTAAGTGTTTGAAGTGCTTCCCAAAAGATGGCAGCAGGATTCGAAGCGTTGCTCAGCTCACAGGAGCATTGGACGCTGCCTTAAATAAGGTCAGACGTCGTTGAGCTTTTGCGTTGGAGAAAAAAGTTGATAAGTTGTCTTTGAGCCACAAGTTCAGGGTTGAAAAGTCAACCACACGTACATCACATGCTGCAGAAAGCTGCAGTGGAAAACATTTGGGCAGAAAGCTGCATGAGTTTGTTTTGCATGTTCATGGCTCAAAGACCAAGGAGAAAGCTCCTCGCGCAGAAAGCTGCAATATGTTAGATAACAGAGTTTTAATTGAATTTGGCAGAAAGCTGTCTTTACCAAAGGGTGCTTTTACGTTTAAGAACGAATCAGCTTCGCAGAGATTTTCATTGTGACTCACTTGTTTGCATGTTTGTTTTCTTTGGAATTTGCTTCACTTGCTGATTTAGGGTCATGACTTCGTTGCTGGACAGCTCAGCGCACTTTGAGGAGAGATGTCAAAAGCTTGGCATGGGAGCGCCGTTTGTCGCAGCCTTGTCAGTTGCACATGTTGACAGTTTGTCGAAGTTGGCATTTGTGATTGGCCAGCCTGGTCAACCAATTCAAAATCAAGATGTTACGGACTTCTTGCAGAGAGCCTTGGGACGTGTGCCAACCTTAGCTGAAACAACGGCACTGAAGAGGCTTGGGTTTGAGGCTCATACTTTTTTGGTTGCAACCTTGAGACAACAGATCGACCAAAGCGATGACACTCAGCCGCGTAGAGTTGCTTTTGCTGAGAGAAATCAAAGGATGGACAGCTTGCGTCAGGACCTCAGAGGAATTGAAATTTCTGGTGAGCTTGAGCCTTCACATGGCTTGCTTGATAAGTGCTGTGCGATTTACGACAGCAACAGTATCAAATGGCTTGAACCCTCTGTTTGCATTTCACGAAGTATGGAAGTTCAGGGCACTCCCAAATCCAGGGAATTGACATTGGAAAAGGGATCGCTTATCCTGAAGAGCGATGACAAGATGACTTGCGCGACAGACTCAGAGATAAAGCTGCACTATGCTTTCACTAGGCGTGCAGTAAGCCTTGCATTTGCCAGGGTGATGTCATTTCAACAACACAGCGCTTGGGTGAATTTTCTGTTTGAGTCTTTGCACCGTGAAGTCCCTCCAGGGTACAGCAAGGCAAACTTGTCGCAGGTGGTAAGCTGTGATAAGGCTGCTTGGGCAAGGCTTGCAACTTTGAACATCAGCACACGTGAAGCTGCAGATGGTTCTTTTCCACTTGGTGATGCACTGTTGGGTTTGAAAGGAGACCCATCAATTGCCTTGTACTTGGCACCCTTGGCCAAGCCAGTTCAGAGTTCCAGTGCGGCCCCAAGCAGACCTGCACCATACCATGCTACAGGTCCAAAGCAGAATACAGGCAAAGGAAAGGGAAAAGCAACTCTTAATGTACTTGTTTCATTAGTGTTTTAATCAATGTAATGCTTCATTACATTTTGGCTCAAGTAAGCATTCAACTAATTTCAAAAAGCTGGAAACGCATTTTCCGTCACAGCGAGGTTTTTCTCCCTGCAACACTGGGTTCACACTTTAACAGGCTGGTTATTATCATTTCAACTCTTTGCTTTCACCTGTGGGTTTTCAGCCCTGTTTTTCCCCGGGGGGGCGTGTTTTTCCCATGTGTTCCCAGAAGTTTGTTCACCATGTGTTTCAGCTTTCAACTGGCAGTTTGACTTTTGTGCATGTCTTCCATTTTCCTGGGGTGTCGGTCCGATGGCAGCAGCCTGATCTTGGCGAGACCGCACGGGGCACCCACACGTGTGGGAACAGTGCACTTCAGATCGGTTTTCTTTGCACTGGGCCCAGACCGTCGCATCCGTAGCTGCATTTTGATTCATTTAGGTCAAGTGGACTGGAGACAATTGAGAAACTCAAACGCTCGACTTCTTTTGCTCTTTGAGTATTCATCAGCATCAGCAGTTCAATCTCCTCAAGTGCAGCGCGTGCGAGCCCCAGGATCTCCAGCAGTGTCAAGTGGTCCATCAATATCTAGTGATTCACCAATTTCAGCCAGTGACAGTTCAGATGACTCCCAGTGATACAGACTGGATTTTCATTCCTGCGACTCAGAAATCAGAGCCACTGGCCAGACCGACATTAGGGACTTTGCCCAACCGACCCAAACACAAGGGTCCGCCACTACAGTTTGGAGGACTGCCTGTCCCTTCAGCCAGGCCCATGCCGAAATCCGTATCACAAGCCAGACCCATGTTAGATTCGGTAGGTCATCAACAGGTGCCATCAGTTTCACAACCAGCCGTTTCACCTCAGCCGATTCCAATTTTTGGCAAACATGTCAAACCACCTGTTTCCAGAGGAACTGCATGCAAAGCCTCGCAACAATCCGAATTTCTGAGAATTCAATACCCATCCAAATCTGCTTGGCTGGTTCAGGAATGGAGAAGCATTTTGCTTCAGCTGGGCCCGGATTCATCAGTTTTCCTAACACTAGAACAGTCGGACCACCCAGAGGCTCATGCTGCCAGATTGTTGGATCAATTTGCGGCTTCAACATTACTTAGATATTTTGCAGCCTGGCAGAGTTTCCGCAATACCGTGCATAGCTTGAACCTGTCGATTGCCGACCTGTCGGAAGCTCAACTTGCAGATGTTTTGATTGCCACTTCGCTCAGCAAGAAATCCGATTGCAATGCTGGTAGCCACATAACCATCAAGTCTATCAGATGGGTAGCCACTCATGCTGGTGTGCAGGGGTTGAAACTTGCATGGAGCCCATTGATTGATAGTTTCCTGCGCAGCAGAATCCCAAAGGAGCTCAAAGAGGCATTGCCATTTTCGCTGTATACAGTTTGGCAACTGGAGAGACGTCTGCTCATGTCAGCTTGCAGCACAGTGGAAACAGTGATCATTGGAGCCATTCTCGTTTGCATGTGGTCGGGCATGCGTTTCGCTGATGCCCAACGGTGCAGTTATCACTCATTTTGTTTTGATGGGAAATCCTTGCGAGGCAGCTGCTGGCGGACAAAGACATCCAGCCGCGGACAACCGTGGGGCCTATTGGCATCAGGCTTCATGTCGTTAGGAACTTTCAACTGGGTTGAGAAATGGTTGACCACTATGGACGACCTTTGGCACCAGGCCAAATCTACCAATTTAGACATGCCGACCCCAGATTTCTTGTTTCCAAAGTTGGGGACTTCGGGAATTGAAATTCCTTGGACTCCAATGACCTATGCGGATGCTCTTGCATGGTTGCGATATGCCACAGCCCTTCCATGGAAGTCCAGCACTCAGCAGTCCACTCAATGGACAGCACACTCCATGAAAAGCACTTTGCTTGCATGGGGAGCCCAACTGATCGCAGAAGGGAAGGTGACGCCCGAAGAACGCATGCTTCAGGGACATCATAGGCAGGGTACCAGCAAGAGCCTTCGCATTTACAGTAGAGACGATGTGCATGGCCAGTTATCTTTTCAGCAGAAGGTCATTGACTTTGTCAGACGAGGGGGTAGATTCATGACAGCCTAACATAGAGGGGCCCAACACTCCAGTGATTCTAGCTCCTCGTCATCAGAGGAATCAGATGCAGCTGAGACCAAACCTAATTCTAGGAAGAAGCCCAGAACGACAGCCAACGTCGAAGATGCCGATGAAATTCTAATTGCTTTTGTGACCAACGTGCAACACGCCATGTTGCCCACTTCGGAAGACTGGAAGCCCTACCATGAGGGCAAGCATTACCAAGCAGCTTGTGGCGCAAGACTGGATTCTGACCGGGTCCAATTCTCTCGAGACCTTGAACCAGGTAAATCGCTGTGTCAGCGACCCGCTTGCATGAAAGCTTGGAAAAGCAGCCTTCTGTAGATCAGAACTTCGGGCCGCTTGCCCTGTCCAACCATCGGATGATGGAGCGTCGAGACAAAAAACACTACGTTGGGGCCGGAGGCCATTTCAGCAGTGTCATGGTCATTTACCATGTCAACGCGTATCATATGACATTAGCATTTTGATCAGTCATTTTAAACTGAAAGCAGAGGGTCACCTGGAGAGTGAATGGTTTTTCGTTATCAGTTCATGTCAAGTTTGTTTTCTCGTCACTTATTTCTTTGACAGCAATTTTTCATCAGCTGACAAGTATAGTCAATCTCACTGGAACCATGCAGTTGTTGACAGGGGGTTTTTTCCTGGCTTGAGGATGCCGGTGCATCCACTGCGCATGGTCCACAGCTGATGGCTCAGCGCGACAGGCAACAGTCAGCTCACTCACCAATCATGCCATGGATGTTCATGTACCCAAAAATCCCAAACAAAAAGGGGATTTATTTTAAACCCCCAATTTTTTTCCAAATCCACAACGTAAGGTTTTCTTAACCAGCAATCCTGTACATTTGCCCCTGTTTTGCTTTCACCTGCCACTTTGGCATTCGGTGCACCGATCATGGATGACTCACTGGATACGATTCTGGGCAATGCAGGAGTTGACCCAACCCTGGCATCGAATCTGGTTTCAGATGGATGGACAGTTACTTCATTTCGAGAGATTGCAGCTTCGCCCTCAGATTTTACGGATCAAGTATTTGCAGAACTCTGCCATGACGTTAGTTTGTCCCTGCTTCAGAAGTCCTGCATCAAGGGAGCATGGCGCAGTCTCCAGACATCCCAAATTCAAGAAGCCAACACACCATCAGGCACATCATCCGCTGCAGGGATGCAAGCCGCGACAGACAATACATGGTCGGAATCTTTCCCACCAAAGTTGACCAGTTCGACCGTATCCCAATTGAAAATGAAATTCTGTGCCAATTTTCCGTCGGAGGTTGTCACTCCCGAGACACAGCCAAGTGCACGATTACTTGCACTCGCATTTCAGTTGCACCAGAAGAAAGAGTACAAATGGCTGCCCTGGAAGTACCGAATGTCAATAGCTCGATCCGAAGAAATGTCTTTGAGTCGCGCTTCGAAGGCACCGAGATTGGAGAACGTACAACTGCATCAATTGCTCATAGACGAGATCCCTTCTCTGGAGATTACCAACCAAAACCTGGGATTAAATGCAGTAAATCGCATGTTTGACTTGCACAACTATGCATGGGCCATGGTTCAGGCGTGCCACCTACATCGGCTACGCTCCTACAGCCTGAAGTTTATGTCCTTTTTGTCAGTGCGACTGGACGCAGAGAGTGGGTTGAGAGCACCTTCCATTCTCGAAGCCCAACATGCAGATAAGCACATTTGGCACCTGATTGCGGAGCTGTGCGAGTCACCGGAATGGACCTTAGATGATGCCTTGCTTGAGTTCACCCAAAATCGGGGGGATCTGGCTGCTTTACTCCAGCCTCGGCCCAAGTTGATGAAGCCTACACCTCCTCCAAGCAACACACCATTCAAAGGTGGCAAAGCAGCTAAATCATCAGGAAAGGGGGGAAAACCCTCCAAAGGATCAGGCAAATCTTCCGTCCGATGGGTTTCAGAGCTCTGGAAAGGGTCCCAAAAGAAGACCCTTTGTATGAGGTTCCAAACGGGAAAATGTTCCAACAAGGATTGCAGGTATGAACATGCATGTGGATACCCTCGAGCAGACGGTACGGCATGTGGGGCATCGCACCCCGCCATGGACTTTTGCAGCAAAGTCCTTCCGTGTCACCGCCAAAGACCATGACAGCTCAGTTTAAACTCAGCCATGCACCTCCTATTGAACACCAACAGGAGGACCAGTCTTTGGGCCTTTCACCAGCGCCGTTTGCGCCAGACATGCCGGCCATTTTGGCCACCTCGCAGCCAGCACATCAACAGGATGCCATGGTCGAAGAGATCCCGGACACGGACAATGGCGACACACACATGGAACACCAACCCGCACATCCTTCACATACCACAATCCCATCAGATCTACATAATGTGAGTCAAGACCTACTCACTCCATGGAGTTGCAAAGGTACAAAAATTTTTCTGGATATTTGCAGCGGAGCGGATTGCCCTCTTTCTAAAGCAGTTAGGGCAATGGGACTTCCAGCCCTCTCCATTGACATTTTATTGGATAGCCGCATGGATCTGTTAAACGACCAGTTCTACGAACAACTACTGAGGTTAGGGAGCTCGGGAGTCATTGGCTATGCAGCCGCCTCACCATCTTGCACAGAGTACAGCTTGCTCAAACTTCGCCCGGGGGGGCCAAGAGCCATCAGGACACCTGACATGATGCAGGGACTCCCTGACTTATCCCCTGCAGAACAACAGCGCCTTCAAGACAGCGCTACACTGTTGGATCGCTCAGTTAATTCGGTCCAAAGTACCTATGTAGCTGGCGGTCACGGCCATGTTGAGCAACCTTCTGGCGCTATGAGCTGGCGGGAACCATCCACACGAAATTGGATTCAGATGGCCAACTGTTGCCTAATACTTTTAGCAGCCTGCGCCTTTGACTGGGACATCATGAAGACATGGCTATTTGCATCATCATTTACACCACTGGCGGACATTGCAGCAGTTTGTACCCATGCACAAGGATCCCACAAATCCATCGCAGGTACAAAAGATGAACATGGTATTATTTGAGCCGGCGGTCAGCAGCTTACCCAGCGAAACTGGCGGAGGCATTTGCACAAAAAATCTCAGTTTTACTTTCCCCCCTCAAAGAAGACATTTCTTGGGACTCAGCCTTTTCGCTCTTTCCCCACAAAGATTGGTTCCAAGACCCCAAAAGTTTTGTGGATGGGGGAGGTCTACAATCATCCCCCGACTGGTCCAGACCACCAGCGGACAAAGAAAACATCTTTAGATCAGTCCGGGATTTTTGAATTCCCAAGATTATAAAACATGATTTGCATAAGTTTATTGTTGGGCATTTTCAGCGGCAACAAGTGGACGCTCCATTTTCAGAAGACCTGGTACAACAGTTCCGTGCATCCCTGGACACATTGCTACCTCTTGACCAACCACTGGATTGGCAGGTACGTGCAGATCAACCACTATGTTTGCATGCCCTTCAAGCCATTAGCCATTATATGAACGACCCAGATCGAAATCTGTTTCCAGCGCTTATTGAAGGAGTCTCCACTGGATTCCAAGACAACATTGCTCCTTCCAATGTGTTTGCAGCCAAACCACCCACTGAGGAACCAGCAAGACCTGAATTGTCCATCCATTGGACAAACTGGCAGACAGCAGAATCTCAACCGGAACTCACAGAAGAGCTGGTCCAAGAAGAACTTGCGAAAGGATGGCTTATTTGCTTCCCCGGCAATCTGGAAGAGGCCAAACGTGAATACCCGCTTGGCGTTGCCGTGGGGAAACTTTCAATTGCCACATCGGACTCTCGTCCACCACGATTAGTGGTTGACTTTACAGTTTCAGGCACCAACCACAATTGTGACATACCTGAACACCAACAACTGCCGTCTGCCAAGGACGTAGTACGTTCCTTCCCTCTTCGTGGTCATAATGAGGAACTGGGGGCACTGGGACTTGACGTCCGAGCAGCCCATAAACTTTGTGTCCTTCACCACAGTCATCGCGGCCTAGTAGGCTTTTCGTTCAAGGGGCGTTTGTATTTTTACAAAGTATGTCCTTTCGGAGCCCGATTCAGTGCGTGGTGGTGGGCCAGACTTGGCTCCTTTTTTACAAGGCTTCTACATCAGTTTATTTATACGGCCCACGCCCTGTTCCTATTTGTTGATGACTACTTACTGGTTCAACGCTTAGACATTTTACCAATCACAGCAGCCCTAGTGGCTCTACTGCTTCAGGCATTTCGACTTCCCATAAGCTGGCGGAAAGCAGAACTGCACAAAGAAGTCAATTGGATTGGATGGACATTTAATTTTTCCACGGGTCAGGTTAAATTGCAACAGAGCAAGAGGGAAAAACTGCAACGATTAATCCTTGAGCTTTTGACTCATCCGAAAACCTCCAAGAAGACAATTGAGAAGTTCATTGGACTGGCTCTTTGGATCACGCAGCTTTTTCCTCTAATGAGAGCTTTCTTGCACCACTTATATACCGACCTATATAGGGCACCTGGTACTTCATATTCAATTGACCCTGGTTATTGGCTCACAACATTGTCCTGCCTGAGCCCAGACTTACAATTCACTTCTCGGCCTATAGGCACAGCCATACCTGAAGGCGGGAAACTATTGTCAGTTCGTCACCAGCCGGTGGCCACCCTGGACGATGTCCGAAACTGCAGATTATCCGAAAAACGGATTTGGGTTCGCATCATGGACCCTTTATCCACCAAAAGATCAATCAGCAAAGATTCTCAGAGAATATTGAACATGTTCTCAACCTGGCTTCAATATTCAAACCCTATAGTTTCAATGAGCCCTAGATTACCTTGGGCAGGTGAAGCTGCAGCAGATGCCTGTGCCGATAAGGATCATTGTCAGATCGGAGGATTCCTCAGATTTGCCAATGGTGACTTACGCTGGTTCAGCGAAAAATGGATAGCATCCGACTTCCACAACTTGGAAATTCCCGTGTCATCCGACATGCAGAAAGATATCAGTAGCTATGAGACGTTAGCCCAAATTTGTCTCTTATATTCCCTTTGTAGCTTGTTGCCATCCCAACGTTTTGCACTCACGTTAAAAAGCTTAAGTGATAACACTGCAGCAGAATCCACCTCAAACTCTCTATTCACCACAAAAGCACCCTTGTGTTTCTTTGTCGAAAAGCTTTGCCTTCTGTCTTCAGCAGTCCATGCCCAACTAGACGTTTCACATATTCCGGGATACGCCAATGAATTCGCAGATATGATTTCCAGAATGAACCTGGAGGAGCCTTTGCCTCCCAGCCTCCAAGCATCCGACCGCATCCGAATTTCATTAGATCAGATTTGGCACCCGACCAAAGCAGTTTCGATTTTCCCAAAGGGATCATCAGTTTCTTGGCCACTTCCGTAACATCCCATATTCCATTGCCAGTCCTTACCTCATACTTTTATTAGAGGGGTTTATCGGGGCATTCAGTAAGTCCTGGTTGATAGAATTACTTGGGTGAAATGCAACCATCAACCATGACATGCTGCTGATGTGGCACAGCCACATGACCAACTGGCAATGGAAAAAGGGAGAAGTGCGTTTCGATTGGATCATCGGTTCACTCCATTTTTCCATCAACATTTTTGAGGTTTCTTGTTTTGTTTGTTTTGTTGTTGATTTTGGTTTATTTATGTTTGGTGATTTGCTCAAGCCTGCTAGGTTGTAGCTAATGAATGCTTACTTGTTAGAACTCTTAATGTACTTGTTTCATTAGTGTTTTAATCAATGTAATGCTTCATTACATTTTGGCTCAAGTAAGCATTCAACTAATTTCAAAACCCACCCTCCCTCACCTGGTTATACTCTTTATCTACCAACGGCTCTCCTTTATCTTATTCAACTGTTGCTTCTCAAATCCAGGTGGGAGATTCTTTTATGACAGGGATTATACACTCTGTGCTACGTTGCCAGCTTTTCAAAAAAAAAACCTCTTTCTCCGGGATTTATCCATGGTGATTTCCTAATTCTCACCTTTGTTGTTTACCCTGTTATTTTCAGTTGGTAATGAGGCACACAAGTGTGGTCCCCCTTCGATGTAGTTTCCCAATTTCACCAACGGAGCGAAGATAACTTGCATCCGACCGTTTCCAACACGGTATCCAAACCACGCAAAAACAACCACTCCAAGTGGCAGCGTTACGAGGCTATTCGCTTTGCCGAACATCCGTTTGCGATTCCGGGACAATCTGTCCTCCCTGCATCCGTTGCATCCGCACCACGATAGGACATCCATGGGGATCCTGTTTTTGTATCAGAATGGTCCTCTCACATTTTGGGCTGTTGTTTTCAAAAAAAACAAAATCCGCATGGATTTGACGTTTCGCCCAAATGGCTCCGCGAGATCCTTTTCTTTGATCTCCACTACTATGCATGGGATGGGTGAAATGCAACCATCAACCATGACATGCTGCTGATGTGGCACAGCCACATGACCAACTGGCAATGGAAAAAGGGAGAAGTGCGTTTCGATTGGATCATCGGTTCACTCCATTTTTCCATCAACATTTTTGAGGTTTCTTGTTTTGTTGTTGATTTTGGTTTATTTATGTTTGGGGTGATTTGCTCAAGCCTGCTAGGTTGTAGCTAATGAATGCTTACTTGTTAGAACAGGGAAGGGGAAAGCCCCCCCAATGCCACAAGAACTACGTGGAAAGTATCACAAGACAGCTGCAAACGAGCCAATTTGTTTTGCTTACAATACATCTGCAGGCTGCTCACATTCAACGACAGTCAAAGCTGGAGATCGTTGTCCAAAGGGCCTACATGTGTGTGCGGAGCCAAAATGTCAGCAACCGCACTCGCTGCAGCAGCATCGATGACTAGGAGACTTTGTGAGCGATTGGAAGGGCCTTCACATAGAGCAGTTATTCATGCTTGAAGTGTTTGCTGGTGGAGCAGTCCTTACCTCAGTAGCAAAGCAATTTGGTCTTGGCGGCATGGCAATTGACAAGATCAGAAAACAAAATGCACGGTGCACAATCTATCAGTTAGATTTGTTGCAAGCTGATGACAGAGAGCTCCTCGAAGAGTGGCTATCTTCTCCACTTTTGTTGTGGGCGCATTTTGCGCCGGTGTGTGGCACTGCAAGTCGAGCCAGGGAAATTCCCAGGCCTGGACTATCAATGGCACCTCGACCACTGAGATCTATGGAACATCCTCTGGGCTTACCCGATCTTGGGCCAAACGAGCGAAAGAGGGTTGAGATTGCCAATGAGCTGTTTCGATACACGTGCCAACTTTTTGCTTTTTGCGTAAAACGAGGTGTGCTTGCGACCATGGAAAACCCTCGTGGCTCATACCTTTGGGTCATTCCTTTCTTGCTGGAGTTACAACGGATTTACTCGTTGTATGCAACAGATTTTCAAGCTTGCATGTATGGCTCTGAAAGAGACAAGTGGACAAGGATTGTGGCATCCTTCCCGGAGATAACCCAGTTGGATGTTGCATGCGACCGCAAGCACAAGCACCTTGGATGGGGATTCACTACAGATGCACAGGGCAGAAAGGTTTGGGCCACCTCAGAAGAATCGCAGTATCCACGAAAGCTCTGCATAGCTTTGGTGCAAGTTATTTTACAAGTGGCATCAGCCAAAGGAGTTCCGCTGAGGCCAAACTGCATTCATGACATTGTCGACCACCCACTCTTGTCGACCAAGCACTCCCAACTTGCTGCAGGGGTTCAACCTCGAGGACAAAGAATTCCTCCTCTTGTACCTGATTTTCAACAAACTGCTGTTTTCCTTGCGAAGGAGCCATCAGATATCCCTTGTGGCTTGTCGGGCAAACTACAACAACCTTTGCAGTTGCGAACGGAAGCTCAACAAGATGTCCAAGTTCCAAAATATTCACGTTTTTTGCGTGGTTCTTTTGCTGCAGACTCTACAATGGGGGTTGGTCAGGAGCCTTTGCAAAACAACAATGGTGCGGCAGATGACAACTGGTGTTACAAGGCTGTTTTTGGCCTTCCTTGGGAGTGTGAGCAGTTTATCCGCAGAGCTGTTGAGGTCCGACATCCCTCAAAAATTGGTTTTGCAGTCCCCAAGGACTTACAGGTTGCACTGGACAAGCATTTGGAGTGGGATGAACAAACCTTGGTGCAATACAGAATGCATTGGTGCCGCAAGTGGCTTAAGCGTGCAAAAGAATTGGAGAGCGCTGAACTTGAAGCTGCTAGCGCTAGGCCTGACCATGTCAAGCAGGCGACGGCTGGCAAAAGGCTTTTACTGACCTCTGAAATCCTTGAGTCAATGGACTATGAGGACATGGAGGTGCTGGAGTTGTTACGAGTTGGATCGCCGCTTGCAGGTGACATCCCGAAGTGCAAGGTCTTTGAGGATTTGTTTAAGCCATGCATGTTAACTATGAATCAACTGCTGAAAGAGGCGCCGGCTAGGAACAGTGCAATCCTGGCGTCTTGCAAGAGGTCTGGAAATACACAAGTTGATGAGCAGTTGCTTGCTGAAACCCGTGAGGAAGTTAACAAAGGTTGGGCTGTTGGTCCTTTGGCAACTGTGCCTGATGGATGCGTAATTTCAAGGAGATTCCCGCTCATCCAAAGAAACAAAACACGCATGATCGATGACTTCACGATCTCTGGAATCAATGACACTGCTGCCTCACAGAACAAAATTGACTTACATATGGTGGATACGTTTGCAGCAATGATCAGAGAATTTTTCATGCGGTGCAATGAGACTGGGATGGCGAGCGATTTGTCGGCGAAGACGTGCGACCTGAAAAGTGCGTACAGGCAGGTTCCCATTTGTGAAGATCACCTGCGCTTTTCTTTCTTTTGCATTTGCAATTGCGAGCTTGGGAGACCTGAAATTTACCAGTTGCGCACCTTACCCTTCGGTGCCACTCACAGTGTGTACAGCTTCCTTCGTCTGGCCAGGATGCTGTACACAATTTGCACGCGGGAATTTTTTCTTCTGACAACAAATTTCTATGATGATTACATCTTGGCGTCCTTGCCGAACAGCACTGAATCTTCGAAAAACTCCATGGAGTTGGTCTTCATGCTCACTGGTTGGCGGTTTGACATGGATGGAAAGAAGGCGACAACCTTTGGAACTGTGTGCAAGGCGCTTGGTGTACAATTTGATCTGTCAAGCTCTGGAGAGAATGCAGAGAATTTTACAGCCTACTCATGTCCCAGAGTTGCAAGGATGACACAGCACAAATCGAGATGAAATAGTTGTTATGTGTCACACATGAGCATCATGAAAAGCATGATTGACTCGCTATTCGTGAGGCCCTTTTGGCTGGAAAACAATTTGCGTGATTTTCGCTCATTGCTTCGCATGGTAGCGGAGCCCAATACGGGCTTTGCACCTCCTTTGGCATAACTTTCTGGCACTGACTGCTTACTGAACTTTTGGGGATTCAAACACAGGTTACAAAGACTGGCTTTTTGGACTTAGTACTGGAAGAGTTTAAGGTTCAATACAGGCGTCTGGAATTTCAGGTGTGGCTTGGTGATTCTTTCATTGGTTTGGTTTAGAGGAGCAGTTACAATTTGCATGTGCAGTTTGCCTAGCAAGATTTACAAGTGGTGATAGCTTGGGTACAGCTTGTTGGATAGATGGCGGAATCGCCAACTGGAAATCCGTTTCCTGGATCCCCGTCAGGGGCAGAGGCAGCAGGTGCGATGCAGCTTGATGGAGTGGAGGTGGCCAGACGTATGCTTGCTGCAACAGAGGCAGCAGTGACCGCTGCACAGGCAGCTTCTCGAGCCGCAGAGGCGGCCAGTAGCAGGCCATCTGATGGAGATGGTAAACAATGGTGGAAGTTACTTCCAAAGCCTCCTCCCTTCGATCATGCTTCACGTGAATCTGAAATTTCCTCATGGAAAGAATGGTCATGGTTGTTTGAGCAGTACATGGCCTCAGTAGATGCTCGTTTTTCAGAAGATATCCAGCAGGTTAGATCCCGAGTTGAGCAGCCAGTGGATCCAGTTGATTTTTCAGATGGAGAGCGTCAACGAAACAGCTTTCTATACAGCCTTTTATCCAGTTTGGTGAGGCAACGTGCCCTTTTGGTTGTGAAGCAGGTCAGCAATTCAAATGGCCTTGAAGCTTACAGGTTGCTGATACAGCAGAACGAGCCCCTCAGTAAGAATCGTTCAATGGGATTGCTGAATGTGATCATGAACTGGCCTTCCTTCAATTCGAAGGTATCTTTGATGCAGCAAGTTCTCAAACTTGAGAACGCCTACGCAGAGTATGAGAAATTGGGGTCGAAGCTCAATGACGACCTCAAGACTGCGATCCTCATGCGCAGTGTGACTGGACAGTTGAAGACGTGGCTTCAGTTACAAGTTAGCGAGAGCACAACATATGCAAAGGTCAGGGAGATGATTTTACTTTATGATGCTTCGACAACGAGATGGTCAGAGCAGATGGTTTTGGGCACGGATGCAACAGCTGGTGGAGCAGATGGGCCTACTCCTATGGAGGTGGACCGGGTGCAACCAAAGGGAAAATCAAAAGGTGGAAAAGGCAAGTCAAAGGACAAAGATGGATCCAAAGGAGGAAAATCAAAAGGAAAGTCCAAAGGCAAGGACAACAAAGGCAAGGGAAAATCCTATGACCAGAAAGGCTACAAAGGAGGTGGAAGCGAACGATCCAAGGGCAAAGGGAAGAGTGATGTGAAAACATGCTATGTGTGTGGAAAATCCGGGCATTTTGCTCGTGACTGTTGGCAGACTCAAGGGTCACAGGTTAGACAAGTGGGTTCAGAAGCTGGCCAAGCTTCAACATCAGCTTCTTCGACAGTTGGTGGAATGACAAGTGTTTCTCAACAAGGTCAACAACAGCCTGTGAATCCTACGCCTGCCACTCAGTACAGAGTTTCAAGAATCTTAGAGATTTCAGAGATTGGAGAAGATGTTCAACAACATGAAGATCTAGTCTTTGACATGCGCGGTTTCAGCCCTGTGAGTTCCAATGGACGTGTGAATGCGATTTATTTCTACATTGGTGATTCTTCAGATGAGCGTGAAGATGCTTATGATTGCAGCAGTTCAGATGCGTGTGATTTCAACAGTTTGCATGCTTGTTGTTGTTTGAATGGTGCAGTTAGAACAGTTTCAAATCAGTTTGATGAGCCTTGCAGTGATTGTGAAACTTTCAACATCCTCATTGACAGCGGTGCGGATGCATCCATCTTCCCAAGTAGCGTGCTTGGGAAAGGTCTGACTGCTGGGACCTCAATGGGAAAATTGGTTGATGCACAAGGAGTTGAGATTCCTGTCATGGCAACAAAGGACATTGAAGTTTGCTTCAAGGATGTTTCAGGCCGAACAGTCAGGTTGAAGGAGACCGTGGCGATCTCAGACAAAGTCTCTCAGCCAATCATGTGCTTTGGTCATTTACTGCAGAGTGGTTGGGGAGTGGATGCACAGGAGCATACATTGTTTCATGCGGCTTCAGGTGTTTCAATTCCACTGGAACTGCAACAACAATCAATGATGGTTCATGGAAGTATTCGTGCGATTCATGAGCAACTGTCAGGTGAGCATTCCTCCCACATCAGAGCCATTCAGGCAGATGTTGATCCGAGTGTGGTGAACGGTTCAGTTGGTTGGGAGCTTGATATGCGTGGTTGTGGAGTTGGTAGACACTATGCAGAGCGATTTCAAGATCCATTGCTTGTCAAACCCGACATTTCTGGTGCATTCTACAGGACGACACTTGTGCAGGCTGATGGAAAGTGGTTTGTGCTTGAACTTTGCGAGAAATTGGATGAGCTTGTGCAGCTTGACAGTTCTTTTCATGAGATGCAGGGAAAACGAAATGTAATCACCTTCATAACTGACAGTGAAAAAGATCCACAAACTTTGGGTTTTACTCTGATGGATGAGCAACCGGAAGTTTTTCCAGTGCAAGTTGAAATGGAGGATGATGCAGACGTTCCAGGTGATGACGCTCCAGTGGAAGGGCGTGAGATTCCTGAAGGTCAGATTGCTGTGAGGCCCATGGATGAAGAGGAGCTGAATGTCAATGGTACGTTGCTCAGAGCCTCAAGCAGTTTGGCAGCATTGCGTGCTGGATGTGCATTTTACAATATTTCAAGTTCAGGGTCGAAACAGAAGTGCTTTCAGCGTTTGGTGGATCATGCAAAGAAGTTGGAGTTGGAAATGGTGGTTGCAGCTTCAAGGGAGGCACAAAGGCAACAGGAACGACATCCTTTGGCCCCTCTCTCAGCTGAAGTTCCGACGGAATTTGAACAGGCACAACATCGCCTGACGCACCTACCATATCAGTCTTGGTGTCCATCATGTGTGAGCCATAGAGCACGTGCAGATCGGCACGAAAGAACAGGTGAATCCCACTCAGGTCCTGTTCCAACAATAAGTTTCGATTACTTCTACACGAAGTCAGATGGAAAATCAGCACAGGAGGAGGAGCCAGACACAATTACAGCTTTGTTTGTGGTGGATAGCCATACTGGTTTCGTGTCTTGCATTCCCCTGGAGAAGAAATCTCAGTTGGACCATGCAAATCGTGAGATCATCAAGTTCATACAAATGCTGGGTTGTTCTGAAGTGATTCTGCATTGTGATAACGAACCTGCCATTTTGCAGCTGAAACGTTTGGTGCTTCGTACAAGGCAGGCCATGGGATTGAAGACCCGTGAAAGCAGTGCAGTGGCATACGACAAAGGGAACTCCCTTGCAGAGAATGCTATAGGCCGTGTGAGGCCACTTGCATGTTCGTTGATGCATCAGGTGAGCGGCAGATTGGGTGTCCAGCTTGGTACAAGCAGTGCAATTTGGTCGTGGTCTCTACGCCACGCTGCATGGCTGATTTCGAGGTTCAGTGTGATCCGTGGCGCTACGCCACATGAACTGGCATTTGGCAGAACTTACTCTGGAGAACTATGTGAGTTTGGAGAGCCTGTTTTTGCTTACATTGTGCCGGTTACGAAGGCCTCAGCAAAATGGAGGAGGATGATCTTTCTTGGGAAGGCTGATACTCAGAACAGTTACGTTTTGTTTGATGGCCAGGCAATTGTACTTTCGAGAAATGTCAGAAGAATCAGCACAGCATGGAGATCACATATGGCTTACTATTTGCATTGCAAGTGTTTTTCATGGCAATACAAAGCTGGATTTGGTGCTCGCATTCTTCCCACCATGAAGAAACCAATTCCGAAGGCAGTTGAGTTTGACCTTCCACTTGGCCCCATTGAGGATACAAAATTCTATGATAAGGATGCAGATGATGTCATCAAGCATGCAGAACAGGAAAAGAAGACAGAACAAGAGCAGTTGATGATGTTTGAAAATGATCCTCTAAGGGTTGCCTTGCGTGAGAGATTGGGAGAAGGAGCAGCAGCTGAAGTTCAGGAGGAGTTTGATGATGGTCCTGCAATGCCGATGTCAAGTGTTCCTTTGCAGGTTGATGCACCGGTTTCTGAGGCGATGCAACAGCAAATGGATGATCCAGGACTGATGGTGCCAGTTACACCACCCAGAACCTATGAGGTGATCGATAGCCCCAGAATGTCTCCTGCTACTCGTCCTTCAGATGAGGCCATTGAGGAATCATCAAAGAAGCAGCGCACTGAGGAAGCCAAGAAACAGAGGATTCATCAATTGAAGATGGAGTATGAACAGAGGCTCAGCGCTGTTCGAGTGGCCTACAAGGAGTACTTCACCATGGACGATTACTCCACTGATTTGGACGTTGACGGAGATATGGAAGATGATGTTTGGGCTGGTGAGGAGAATATTTGCCTCACTGGGATTCCAATTGAGCTGTGGTCAGATGCCCCTACAGACCGCCCACCAGAAGAACCAGCACAGTGGGTGGATGACTTGGCCGACAAGGTCGAGATTCAGCGTCTCTGCAACATGCAGGTGCTTGTGGCGGCAAAAGATTTCTCAGGTGAAGTAACTGGAAGATTGACAACAAAGTTTGTCCGAGATTGGCGTTTGAAGGACTTTGGAGAAGGTTCAAATGTCTGCAAGAAATGGATGAGGCGATCACGTTTTGTGGCGCGGGAATTCGCCAACACCCGTCGCCTTGACACTTTCAGCCCTGCTACAGGAGCCCATACTTCGAACATCTTGCCATTGAAGTATTTGTGGATGAAAAACATGGCCGCTGGTTTGAGAGCTGATGGTGATTATTCAGTGGTTATGGGTGCTTTGGATGTTCGAGATGCGTTTTTGCAGGTTGAACAGGATGAAAAGGTGTTGGTCCATTTGCAGAATGAGCCCTTCATTATTATGCGTAATCTTCCTGGGCAACGGTTGGGGGCGAAACAATGGTATTTGCATTTGAGAGAGTTTTTGGAGAAAACCCTGGGATTTGAATTTTGTCCAGAACAACCATGCCTTGCTCGCACCAAAGATGCAGCTATCATGATACATGTGGATGATATTTTGTATGTTGGTACAAAGCAGTTTTGGGATGGTTCATTCCTAAAGGAGATGAAATCCAAGTTCACGGTGAGCCACGAACAACTTGAAGGTCCAGGCAGTAGCATCAAGTTTCTCAGAAGAAAGATGATTGAGACAACAGATGGACTGGTGCTCATGCCGGGAACCACAGTGGAGCGAGTTGTCAATGCATTCGAGAGTGTATTTGGCTCAGCGCGTTTACAAAAGGTTCCAAGTGACTCTGGTATCCAGCTCACAGACACTTCGCCACAACTGAATGACAGAGATTCAAGCATGTTTCGTTCAATCATTGGCCTATGTTTATACATTGGACGTGAGAGACCTGACCTCATGTACACGATAAAGGAACTTGCTTCTCACATGTCATGTCCAACGGTTGCAGCATTAGGACGTTTGCGGAAGATGATTGGTTTTATGAAACAGGTTGGAGACATTGGAGTGAAACTTTGTTATCCAGAACCAGGAGTTGGCAAAGTCAATACAGCAGCTGAGTGTGAGTGGATTTTAGAGAGTTTCAGCGATGCCGACTGGAACGCCAACAAGACCACGAGGCATTCAACGTCTTGTGGAGTCCACTTCATTAACAATTGCTTCATGTATGCCAGCAGCCGTAATCAGAAAGTGGTGTCCCTCAGCAGTTGTGAAAGTGAACTTCATAGCCTTGTAAGTTGTGCATGCGATGGTATTTACATCAGAGCTTGTGCAATGTTCGTGCTGAATGGGGTTGTAGAACATTTCCAATATACTGATTCCAGTTCTGCACGTCAAATCGCGTGCCGACAAGGATGTGGCAGGGTGAGGCACGTTTCTGGGAAGTTGCTTTGGGTACAAGAGAAAACAGCAGACAAATCCTTTTCACTTCACCCTGTGGCCACCCTTCACAATGTGGCAGATATCGGAACCAAGACTCTAGCACGACAAAGGCTCTTTTACCTCTTGCATTCATGTGGATTGGTTTATGGAGTTGATTTTTCAGATGTTGGTGAAACAGAATTCTCAGTTGTGAATGAAAGGTACACCAATGCGCAGCAGCTGAAGAAGATCTCCAAAGCGATCCTACGCATGGGTCTGGCAATGGGAATCACGGAGGGCCTTGAGTCTAGTGGTGCAATGGCTCAACAATGTGGCAACAATGAGATCCAGGTCAACAAATTTCCATGGATGTTTGCATGTGTGGTTTTCCTTATTTGCATGGTGGCGTTTACAGCTTTCTGGCGGAGACTCCAAAGGTTTTTGAAGGATTGGGATGATCGAATGAAGAGACTGGAAAGCGATGTAGATTCAGCCCAAGTCCAATTGGGAGACCATTATGAATATGCAGCACATCTTTCAGGTCGCATCGATAGCTTGGATGTGAGGTGTGAAAGTATCGATGAATCTCTAGATGCACAGGCAGCTCAGATTGCAACGCTTGAGGAAGAGATGCTTGAGTCTTCCCATTCAATGGAGGAATTGATGGACTGCATAAGGTATGGCCTTATGGAGCTGGGAGGATTCGTTAGACATACCTTTCTGAACAGGGAACAGCGATCCCATATGTTTGTGCAGGAGAGAGCAAACATGGTACTTTGGAATTTGCGTAACCAGGCAGACACAACAGATGTGGCAGAACAGAGCAATGTTGAAGGAGGAGAAGAAGAGTTGGGAACAAGTGATCCAGAGATCGAGCCGGAGTCCCACGTCTCCCCTGGACGCATTACAGCCTTGCTGGAGAACGTGAGACGTGATTTGAACATAGCGCTTCAAGCAGAGAGATGGACAGAAAGCAATCAACTACAAGGTGCAGTGAATATCCTTTTGGATGCTACGAATGGTCCGAATCCTGAAGGTCTATCAATGAGAGTTGTGAGGGATGTGAGAAATATTTTTCAGAGATTGTTCCGCATTCACAGGAACAGGGGACTTGAAGAGCGCCGTGACCGATTGAGGGTCTATGTCGAAGACATGAACTCGTTGATGCAGTGATCGAATGAAAGCTGGGACAGAGAATGCTTGCTCAGCAAAACAGTGCTGAATATGCGTTGGAAAGTTGAAAGTTGGAATTCGAGTGATGCACTCAAATCCCAAAGGAGGAGTGCAGAGAATTTTACAGCCTACTCATGTCCCAGAGTTGCAAGGATGACACAGCACAAATCGAGATGAAATAGTTGTTATGTGTCACACATGAGCATCATGAAAAGCATGATTGACTCGTTATTCGTGAGGCCCTTTTGGCTGGAAAACAATTTGCGTGATTTTCGCTCATTGCTTCGCAGAGAAGCTTTTAAAGATTTGCAATACAGAACAGCGTGTTCAAGACCTACTTGCAATGCTCAATGCCACCTTGCAGGCGGGTGAACTGGGAAAACAAGACGCGCTTATTTTGCGCGGCAAACTGGGCTTTGCAGATTCCTTCTTACATGGAAGGTTGGGCTTGATGGTTTTGAAACAGCTTTCTGAACATGCACATGGGCGCAGTGCAAAGCTTAGAGAAGAACTTGTAATCGGACTACATGCAATGGTTCAACGCTTGACTTTGTGTGGCCCTCGCGTCGTCTCTGCAAAGGCGATGCAACAATGGTTTGTGTTTACAGATGCGGCCTATGAACCCGAATTGCATACTGGAGGTTTGGGTGCAGCAGTCGTCGATGACAATGGCAAATGCGTTGGCTGGTTTGGCCTTCCGCTTGATGAGTCACAGTGCGAAAAGTTTGGATCACTGGATCGGCAAACTATAATTTATGAACTGGAGCTTGCAGCAGCCGTTCTGGCACTTGACTTCTGGGCGGACAAAATGAAAGATGGATTGCAAGTGTGTTATGGTGACAATGATGGAGTGCGATTCTCTTTGATACGTGGTTCATGCTTGAGCAAACATGCTTCAGCTCTTATGAGATACCATTTGAGCCGAGAAGCTACCAACAACTTGTGCACTTGGTTTGCGAGGGTGCCTACTGAGGCAAACTTGGGTGACTACCCATCCAGAAATGTTCCACATGCTTTGCTGACGGAAGATATCAATGAATCTACAGCTGCCTCGTTTTGGTTTGAGCGCTTGGTTCAATCTTTGCAGGCGGCCTAACTGAAATCAATGGGGGGAGCCAGTCAGCATCGGCCCCCATGCAAAAAGAAGTGCTTGTCAGCTTCCTGAGTTGTTCGTTGTGGCCAACATGCAAGCCAGACGATGCAGCTCACTTTAGTGATCGAATAGTCTTGCTAGCATGTTCAGGAATTGAGATTCCGGGTCACAACTGTTTGATCCTGTAGCTTTATGTCTCTCAAGGGAGGGCGAGGTGGGTGCCGCTGTTACTTTTAGAGTTTGAAAGCGCCCACCCAAAGTTGCACTTTCTCTTTTCCCAGCCCAGCGCTTTCCTAGGCCAGACCCTAGGCCTAGCCAGTCAGCATCGGCCCCCATGCAAAAAGAAGTGCTTGTCAGCTTCCTGAGTTGTTCGTTGTGGCCAACATGCAAGCCAGACTAGATTGGTATGTGCATTCAACTCGACATCGAGGTCAAATTATTTAGTCAGATTTGCATCGGTCACACCGACATCATTTGCGTTGGCTACATCTGGCCATTTGCATATTTGCAGTTTTCTCCTCGGGAGTTTTGTGTTGCTTCTTTTGGGTGTTTAAGTTGGGCTCAAAATGGTGAAGAACAGTGGAACCGTGGAATCAGCTGTTGGGTTGCAAACCTGGTTTAATTTCACACAGCATGCACGGGATGATTGGGACTTGTTGTGGGCATCAGGCATCCTTTTTTTCCAAACACAATCTTGGGGCTGGGGTACGTTATTATTGCATAGCAATCAAATATCATAAAACAAAATTGTTCAACATATTGATTGAAAATTGAAACACATTTGGGTACTGTCATTGCAGCGTGTGAAAAGACCTGGTGAACACATCATTTTCGCGCAATGGCTTATGGACATTCAGAGTCCATCTTCTTGGACATGGTCCAACAAACAAAGGCGAAACCAAACATGTTTCTATGTTGGTTTTCTAGTTGGAACCGTTACCTCATCCATGGGTTGAAACCGTTTGCCATATACTTGTGTGCGTGACTGGTTCATGTGCATCTTGTACACTGAGGCAATCGCATCGTTCGGTGAAGAGTTTCACAGGCCATTTGGTGTGTTAGAGTCGGAACAATTGGAATAATCCAGCATGTCCATTCTTGTTTGGATGCATATTTTGTATTATTTTGTGACATGTTTGCAGATTTGACATCTAGTATGAATTGAATTTGCATTTGGCCATTTCCCATTGGTGTCAGACGCGATTGTGGCATGTGGTCGCCGTGGCCGTTGGGACAGTGTGAAAGTATTGTGTGCTCCTTAGACCTGAAAATTGGAAAAATTGGATGACCCCATTGACCTTGGTGGTGACTACCTCGCCCTTGGTGAGGCTTCGAGAACTCAAACATGCATCACTCCGCACAGATATCGTTTGCAACTTAATTTTGAACGAAAAATCTGGATTTTTTGACTTCGATTTTTTCGTCCATTTTGTGTGTGTTGCAAAGGTGATTTATAGCGCTAGTTCCTTGGCTGCAGAGATTGACATTGGCAGAGGGTTCATCCTCTTGTTTTGATCCTGCAGCGGCAAGGCATTAGTGCAGCTGCACAGGCTGGTTGGTTTGCTAAATTGCCACTGCAACTGTATTCCCTCAACTTTGGCAACAGCGAATGGAGGCATGGAAATGGCAACATGCCGTCACACACTTGCAAGAGCTTGAAAATGGAGGCGGGTTATTCGGTTATTCTTTTTTGCACCTCCCACAGCGTTGTTTTTCTCGCGCACAATTGCATTTCCAACGAATTGTTCGCTTGTCAGGTTTGCAAACAGATGTGATTGCTTGCAGTGCATCCGCCTCAGTACCACCAAACTTACACTGAGCATACATTGCGGTGTTTCGTTGATGTGCAGCTAAGACCGCAAGGCAGTGATCAACGCTTGTGAACGAGTTGGTCTTTGGGCAGGAGCAGTGCTTCTGGTAAGCTCGATGCGTGAGAGGAGAATCGAACCAAATGCAGGGACACTGAGAGATCAAATCAGACATTTTTTTGTTTTTGAAACAGTTGTGGTTAAAAAGTGGTACACAGAAATATACAGAAACTAGCAACAACATGTTTTTGTTTCCTGTCTCGGAAGTGTGAAAAACTCTGATTGTGAACAAAATCTGCTGCACCTTGGGAAATCCCAAATCTGATTTGAGGCTGTAACTTGCAACGCTGCTCTCAGTGCTTGTGAGAAAGGTTTTTGCTGGGTGTCTGGCCAAGTCTCTCTGTTGACTGCTGGATTTCAGCCATGAATGCTTTCATATTTTCAATGTTGGCAGATGTAACGAACGGTGCAAGGTTGCTGCAACTTCTCTCCTGCAGTCCATGACGCAGGACCTGTCTGGAAATTGAATCCAACCATTGGCAAACTTGAATGAAATGGTTCCATCATCCAGGCCACGTCAAACCCTGACCTCGTGACGTGCTCTGGTTTTGCTGAACCATGCAGAACCATTCCTTGAAACCGAAAATGAATGGTTGTAGGTTGTCACAAGGCGAGCCGAGAGAGTTTTTCTTGTATTTAAGGCTTTCTTAAGCATTAGACACATATACTGATACTGTAATATACATGTATATATATATATATCATATATCATATATATATATAGCCAATGGATATTATACATGATATGAATCTGCTGAATATGAATCGACTTGATTCGTCCGAGATTCCTGGATTTGGTTTTCATTCGACAGGTACAGTGCTTTGGCAAGCTCTTTGGAGTCCAGAGGTCATTGGCAGTACGAGACCCAGGAAGATCGCAGAGGCTGTGCTATCCAGTCACTGCTTGGGATGATGATCCCATTTGACTGCATGTATTCAGATGTACATGCATACTGCATACAGTACATATTCATAAATTTGAACACAGTAGATATCAAGAGATATAAATAAGCGAAATACCCAGCAAAACCATTCACGGACACTTAAATGACAAACAGACATATTTGCCGGAGAGGCTGGCAGCCCAATCTTCCACAATGCTGAGACGAAGGGGTGTTGGTCTCAGGATTTGTTGCCGCTCTACGCTTCTGGAAATAGTATCCATGATGCATATGATGCCATTTCCGGAATGCAGCTCCATGTAAGAATCTGTAGACAAGACCAAGTGTGGCGAGGTCTGAAGACAGATGTTGTTTATTGCAACGCGGTTATCAGCTCAATGGAAAAAGGCAGTTGGGCTGCTCCAAACAGATTTCAGCATGAATGGTCTAAACTCCTGGTTTGTGAAGGTTGCCAGTGGCAGATATCCAGTGATATTCTCGAGACAATGTGTCCGGTCCTGATTACTGAATGGGGACTGCGCTTTGAAACACTTTGTTTGGTCCGCGGCGACCTCATTGAGGCCAAGACAATCAGCATGTGAGCAGCATCACGCTGAACTCAGTCATGAGCTCCTACGAGAAGGCTCAGATGGAATGCTGTAAGACGTTTGAGAAGCAGATGCACCAATAATAGATAAGGACAGTATGTGAGATCTACTAATTCAACATTGTTTTCTGTACATATTCATACCATATCATATCATATCATATCATTGAATATCATGCAATTCTTTGATATCATATCATGCAACTCTTTGTTTCGCTCTGTTGTTCACTCTTCGTCTGGCAATTCGGAACCCACAAATTCTGCCCGGGAGGGTCTTCGGTGGAGAGAGACTTATGCAATGCTTTGCATGAGACGATCGTCGGCAGGAGGACCGATGTGCCCAACGACTGTGAAAACAGAGATTTTCTCCATTTGATGCATGATGGAACAGGCAAACAATGGCCCTCAGGAGCAATGACAAGGAGACTTGACCATTTTGCGAGACTTGATTGCACTGGAGAAGAAAGACAGACAGCACACCAAGTATATGACTTTGGACAACAGGTTATATACAGATTGCTCGAAGCATCTCGCATCAAGAGCAAGGCTACTGCGAGACTGGTATAATGGTGCACCTGTTGGTATTCGAAACCATCGTGGCTTAGGTACAACAGCATGATGAGCGCATGTGAGAGATGCAGCCTTTGGGAGGAATCTCTCGATACATTGTCCATGTTCCCAAGCTGCAGGGTATCGGTATTACATGGTATTACCATGTCCTATCGTTTTTTTACACCGCAGGTGTTCTCCATAGTCCGACTAGTCCGACTAGTGTTATGTTCCATGCACTGGGATTTCTTGACATGTCCCGATGGATTTGTGACCTGACCTGACTTGGCCTGGCGATGCCTGGCGATTTGTGCCACAAGGGGTGCGACAGCTGGAGATCCTGTGGACAGTGACGTGGTGAGCTTTACCTCCGCCATTGGTGCTGTGCAATGGCCAGTGGCCATTGAGCTGATGATCTCCATGGAAGAAAAAGGTGGGCCATAGCCAGCTGGATCCAGCTGGATATGAGATGTGGGTCAGAATTTTAGTCTATTTTTTTTAGATATTTTTAGTATGAAAATGATTGAGGTACCCGATTTTGACCCATACCCAGCGATTTTTGACAAAACAACTGGTATGAACCCATCAGCCACAAGATCTTTCTGAAGGATGGGGCTGTCAGACGGTCAGCATGCTTTCACTTCTCTATGTTCTGATGTCCTGATGTTGCAACTGTAACTCTGTTTTCCAGGATGATTTTGCAAGTCTCATGAAGGAGTCAAAGAACCAAAACATTCATGTACTCAGCAAAAGTCTTCAAGATTGTCATTGAAAAAGTGTTGCCTGCGAAATCTTTTTTTTCCCCACTTTTTTGAAACCTTGCCCCACTTGGTGCTAAAAGTCGCCAGGTATTTTGGCCAACGTGGTGGCTTTTAGCTCTGTCATCAATTCCTGTGGCGACGCCGACGTCTCCAACGTCTCCGACGTCGACGTCCCGGTGGTGTGGCCCGTGGCGCCCGAGGTGTGGCCGATGGCGTTGCGGGTTTTGGAGCTGATGGCGAAGGCCAAAGTCACTCCCAACGATGTCAGTGCCCCAACTGCAGGCCGTGGGCGGTTTAGTGGCCATTAAAAACATTGACAGATATTGAGAAATTGTACTGAAAAGAATCTGGATGGGATTTTTAATAATTTTAATGTTTCGAGATATTCACATGGAAAAACAGGTGTTGAGGCAGGGGTGCATTTGTGGAACTGAAGCTTTTGTGAAGGACAGTGCTCAGGTTGCAATAGCGCCATCATTGCATGTGGTCGTGGCGGCCAATGGGAAGTTGCCCTGTGTTTACTTTCGACGATGCTTTCACGTCTCTGTGCAGTTGATCTCTACACAGGATATTCTACGGTATGGGCGTGTGAGACTGCTGGCGAGTGGGAAGTGGCGCTGAAAGTCCTGAAACTGATTCCGGAGACACGGGTTTGGGGTCCCAGGACACTTCAATTTTTTTTCGTTTCGCATGTCTCCTGTGAATGAGGAATTGTTGGGGACATGTATGGAGTGTTTTGCGGGCTTGCATGTGCTGAGGCAAAGCCTAACGTCTTCGGATGTGCTTCTGATGTGAACATTTGCTATCGCCAGGGACGCTGGCAGTTGGGTCTCCACTTGATCAACATTTTGTCCGAGGCAAGATGTCAAGCATGAAATGTTCCATGGATCATCATGAATTCTCGTTGAATGCTTAGAAAATCTACGATTTGTTTGCCAATTTTGCTTATTTTGCTTCCAGAAATGGGAAGATTTTGGAGGGGCTGTCAGGTTGCTATGCTTCGAATTTGACCTGGCAAAAAGTTCACACCAAGCCGATCGTTCCTCGAAGCGATACATCTCCGACCGCAGAATGCACTGCGCCTCAGCTGTTTAGAGATTTTGAAGTACCTGGAGTGTGAAAATGGCGCTGTGCGACGACAAACCAAGCCAAGTCGCCAAGTCGAAAGTGAAAAATCAAGAAGCCAAAAGGAAGCTATCTGAGAGACTCCAGTCTAGCCATCCTTTCGGAACTAGCTTACAAGCCATGCAGCTCCAAGTCGCTTTGGCTCGAAAGTCTAAGAGTCGAACAGATTCACAACCAGCGGCCTCATCTTTGGAGTACAAAGCTTGCTCCTATGGGGAATGGTCCTTTGTCTGAAGATTTCAGATTCAAAAGGTCTTAATTTGTGAACAAGCCAGATTTATGGATGCAAGTGGTTAAAAAATGTTTCCGAGACTCACTCGGTCAGACTTGTGGTTTCACTGGCACATGTTATGCTGCTGATAGGTGTCCCTTCTGTGACAGAGTTTCATTCGAACTTTGTCCTAATGCAGTATCTCCAGTCTTCCTGTTTTCCTGTTGAATTTTTCTACTAAACTATCTAAACTGGTCAACATTTTGATTTATGGCTCATGGAATCTCACGAAGCTTTAAATTCACAGAGCTTTCACGTGGTACATTTTTTCATGGCACAACAGTGCAGCCATGTCTTTGAGGTAACATAACCATGAATCGTCGGGGCGATTTCCTGGAGATATCTGATGATGACGGCCAACTCAAGAGAGTTCTCAGGGAGACTGGTGCCTTGTTTTCACCATGATTTCCTTTTATTGGAGCTTCAAAAACAACCGATTTGAAACCACAAACTCTTGGATAGTGTGACATATTATGACATTTTTTTTGAGATGGGTTCATACATTGCTTTTGACTCTGAGGAATTTCATCATTCATCCCAACCCAAACTCTTGTTCGGCTCAACCCCAAGCAGATCCAGCACAATGCACGAACGTCCACGCAAGGTGACAGAGTGCCAGTCAAGAAGTTATTTATCAAACTATCTGATGCACTTTGCCTGCAAGAGTTGACAAACGTGACAGACAGGGGCCATGGAAGGAGTCTACTACACCCTCTCAGGCCGATATGATTTGAGCCATCTTCAGCCGATGTCTTTTTGGAGTTATTCCTTTTTTGGCAACAGAGGTTCAATACCGCCATAACGCAATGGGGATGTTCTTAAGTAATGAGGAGTGATTAGAATGAGACTGTCACTTTTGAGGTTTGCTCTGTGGCATTAAAGCGGACGAGAGACTTGCTTGCACATCCTCAGCCGGAACGAGATTGTGTATTCTGCAGTCCAACTTGGGGAGAACATACACCTTTGTTTCGTTGATTCCAACCAACAGTCACTAGCAGTCTTAGAAGGAGAATGACCGATTTGATCAGATTTGTACGTTTTCTCGGATTTCGCAATCTGAATGCAGCGTCCCGTGCAACCATGCTTGTTTCAGACCCAGGAATGACATCATGTTTACCCTGGAAAATGGTGTGGAGTACCTGCTAGATGGCTTGGTGACTTGGCCTTTGAAACCGCCAGATCCTACAGAATTGCGGCTGAACAACTGCTGAGGAGGATCCTGAAGCCACCTATTCTCAGTTCGCGACCTCAGGGAACCAATATTCATCAAAACATATCAGGTGTGATAGGACAGGTAGGACAGGTACTGAGATCAACTGAGTGAGAAACTGAGGTTTGTGGATTTCGTTGCTGATGGGTGAAATCCCACTGCCTTTAGCCCATAGAGTCATAGAGTTTGACAGAGACTTCGTCGCCTAGACATCGCAGAAATGACGGGGTCTAGAATCATGGACCATGTTGGACCGAACGACTATTCCATAGTGCGAGACTTGGAGAACCTGGAGAAACCAAAAAAAAAGATGCAGAGAGGTCTGCAGGCAAAGCCCTCTGCGGAAGTATCTTTGATTTGCCCAAAACTGTGGCAGAAGTCTCCAGTGGTGAATGAGTTGCTAGCAATGCACCATGTATTTCCGGGTCGAACAATCCAGGAAGTGATTTGTGTTAGCTTGGGCTCAAAGGATGAGAACGATGCCCACTTATGAGCAGAATGTCAAATCATATCAAACTAACTTTGAACAACCTCAGTCAGTGACTTCAGTCGTTTGAAGACGATTTGCTACAAGTTCCTGAGTTTTCCTGAACTAGCCTTTACCCCACAGATCTTGCACCCGCTTTGTTTTGACTCCCCCTTGCCAATCTTCTGGCATGGGCTTGGAGCGACCTCGGAAGGATCGAACATAATTTGAACAAGCCGGACAAGCATTTGCATTCAAGTGCTTAAAGATCATCATGCCAAGTAGATATTTATCTCGTCAGGCGCATGGACCAGCGCCAGGTCATTCAAAAAGATCCTGCACAGGCAAGGCCACACGCCCCTCATAGACTCATACATACCTACGTGCCAAGATGCTTCGCATTTTGGCAAGGTGTTTGCAGTTCAGCTTTAGCTACCCTTGTCTTTCACCTGCTTCATTCTTAAGGGTCGTTGAGAATGATTTTCTCCAAACAGGAGAGGATTCCGTGCATACACATTATTTGAGTCTGTTTGTCTGGGTGGTTAGCTTTCCACTGGGCCCTGCCATATCTTGATTCTTAAAGAGTTTCAGATACAGTAGGCTCTTTGGTCGTTTGCTGTCAACCCAGCATTGGGAAATCAGACGGAAATGCATTGGACATAGAGGGTACAATTCACAATGGATTTTCATTCTCACGCAGGAGAAAATTGATCCTTCAATTCTCAGTTGATTCTTAGCAGGACCAACGAAACAAGCGCATGTTAGTATAGGAATAATAGACCACCGTATATTTTGATGGTTTGCCACCCCGCTACATCTGGGGCTTCCCTTTTTTTAACTCCCGCGCCAGGTGAAATCCATCAATGATTTCACCAGCTCATTGGCCAAAACATTGGTGGAGGCTGAGGGCATGCCATCCAAGGAAGCCACAGATCGCCACGTAGTGATGTTTTTTAGCTGACACTGACAGTGTCGACCCAAGGGCCACAGATTGGACCATTGGAGGAGTTAACCCGAGAGCTGCTGGCTGATGGTTTGAGACGGGCCCTGGACATGTTGGGCGAGACGCCTAAGAAGCAGTTCCTGGACTGAGCACCGTGCACCACTTTGCAGAGCCTGTTCTTGCAAAACGCACCCTAGGAAAATACATAGTTCAATTTGTGAACAAGATGCAACCTGTGAAAAAGACAAGATCTGAGCTACTGGGCACTGGACATTTGAGTCTAAGTTTATGAAACATGAGCGCGTTAACAGCTTGCTTGTCAACTGCTCAGACCGCTATTCGAGTGGCAGGAGATTCTCGCAGCCAACATTCACAAGTTTGCTTTGCAGGTGCGGCTGATGAAAGGTGAATTCGTGCTTGATATCGAAACAACCAATTCCAAGTGCAGTTTTGCAGAGGAGCAATACTCTCTGTCCCGGGTTTATCCTGTGGAGATCAGCAGGGTGCTGAGGCATGTGGAATTTGGGCGATGCAAGGAGTAGAAGACACGTCTGAACCAGTCTGAACCAGTTTGACGGTCTCCGAGTGCCAAGGTTCGGAGTATAAAAACCTGCAGTCCTTCTTCAGCGAAGCTGCGCCAGAGGAAGCAACAGGCCCACTCAGTTCCTGAACCTTTCACCATCTTTCACTCGAATATCCTTTTGATTCCTGCCACTGGGGCCATGAGGTCAATGAGGTCCCAGGAAGACTAGTGAGGATCAACGGACAGTGGGGACAGTTGCCTCTGGCGCGACGTTAGGTGAGGATCGAGTTGGAGACCCGGGGCATCGGGGCATATTTCGAGGGGAAAGCTTTGCAGTTTCGTTTCCGATATGAACGAACCGAGCAATTTGGTTTGAGATTTTCATGGGAATCGACATCACTGTTTTGTAAAGATTAAAGCCTCACTGGCCTCGCTCCATTTGCTACAGCCTATAATTACTACAGCTGCATTCAAAGTGAGAGAGGGAGAGAGAGAGCATTTTGCCTTGGCTCGACGTGAATCTGCGTGACTTGGACTCCGGAAACTGCAGCGTAAAGGGCTCAGCATGTGGAGAAACAAGGAAACAACCATCAATGAAAGTCCAACTTTTCCAAGCAGCCTCCGCCCAAAGGTATGGCAGAGTATTGCAAATTTTCGAAAAAGTAAGCACTTATGCACTACATCCATACTGCATACTACTTCCATGTTCACATCAATTTACATCTGTTTGAATCGCCATCGCCATGCAGCCAACAAGGCCAGCTGATGAGCGACCCAATCTCTTGCGGCCCTTGCGCTTGAAACCGGTGCAGCGTGAGGCACCTCGCTTTGCCTCTGGAGATGTGGAAGATGACGCTGCAGATGCCCCTGACGAATCGTCCCAGGGTGAGATCCTCGAGAGGCCTTTGGTGTATGTCCGCGTTCGACCAGATGGCGCAGACAATGCAAAGTCTGAAGGGGGCATCAAGGTGGATGGCACCAATGTCACATACCCGGTGCCCAAGAAAGATAGAAAGAACACCATCTCGGTGGAACATGTCTTCGAAGAGACAGCATCACAAGAGGATGTCTTTCAGAAAGTTGTGCGTGAGCAGGTGATGACCTACATCCTTCAAGGATTTAGAGCGTGCATTTTTGCCTTTGGCATCACCGGTTCTGGAAAGAGCTACACCATCCTTGGGAACGGAGAGCAGGTTGAGTCGCAAGGTTTGCTCCAGCGGACCATTCAGGATTTGTTCGCACAAGACCTGGACAACTTCTCCATGTCGATGCAAGCCATCCAGCTTCACCGTCATAGATTTGAAGATTTGGGTGTGGCGCAGAAAGAGCTTGTCAAGGCACACTGTTTTGTCGTTTCATAGAGTGCGTGCAGGGGCTGGCACAAGGACTTGTTCGGACCTCCCCAAATTGTTTCTGTTCTTCGCTCTAATTTTGTCACAGTTTGGAACCATTTCGGAGCCATTTTGGACACATCGATCTCATTCGAGCTCTCTCCAGCCCAGCCACCCCAGCCACCCCAGCCACCCAGGTGAACAGCACGATGCACGTGGACAAAACCGACTGCTCGGAGCATAAGTTCGACTCAGCAGCTCCGGCGCTGGAGTGGCTGGATGGGGCCTTAACTCGTCGGAATGTGAAAGCTACAGGAGACAGCTAGGGCCGCTAGGGCTGGGATCAGATGAAGAGATGACGGTTGGTTTTGAATGGTTCTTCCGAGGTATTCCAGTGTTCTTCCAGTTTTTACATGTTTTTACATCTTCAAAACAGTAAGGTGACAGTTGGTGATTTTGACATACTTGAGACATACTTGACTTTTCTTAATTTGATTTTCCATGGCTTCTCCAGTACCTTGCCAGGAGGGAACAAGGTGTCTTCACGCAGCCACCTGGTGGTGCGGGTGAAGCTGCAATTCACTTTGGATGGCGAAGGGCGAAATGCGGTCTTGGATGTGGTGGATTTGGCCGGCAGCGAACGAATTCGCACTGATTTGGATGAAGAAACGTCTAAAGACCACATTGCCATTCAAGCAGGACGCTATAGAAAGTTTCGGATCCTGTTTGGGTGGTAGAAAATTTTCATGGTAGGGCTACCAGTGGTTTGCACATGAATGGCCTACATGGGTGGATGCATGAGTAGACAAAAAAATGAAATTTGCGGATGGAGAGATCTCAGTATCTTTACGTTGTTGAATGGAGATATGTCCTTTCCAAACTTGTGAAACTCTTCTTGAGGACTGTCTTGCCTGCAGAATTGCATCGAGAGCAAAATCCACAATGTGAAGTTGCCTCAAAATCAACAACGCTTGGTGCCCTTCACTCACTTTCCTCTGACGAAATTGTTGGCTCCTGACTTCACAGGTGATGCCATTGTGGCCATGATCTTGACCTTTTCAACGAAGCTGGACCGAGCTGCAGAGGTTGCGGAGACACTGCATTTCACCAGTCGGATGTTAGGCTTCCGGATTGCTGCAAAGAAACAAGGCGTCACGGTGCAGGCTCAGAAGTTTGAGGATTTGATGGCCCGTGCTTTGCCTCGTCCTTCCGAGTCCCAAAAGCCTGAATTGCCAATGACCAAAGCTGTGAGTGTCAAAGCGCAAAAACTACACGAGTTGGAAAAACAGCAAAATGAGGAGTTGAGAGAAGAGGTGAGAAGGCTCCGACTGCAGCTGGAACAGTTGGAGAAAGAAGTTGTGTCACCTCTTGGTGCTTTGGCTTCGGAGTTGAAAGAGCTTGCAAAAGCATCAGAAACTCAGCCAGCATCAGCTGACTTGATATCTCGAGCTCGCAAAGTTATGCAAGATATGCAGGAGAAGTATCCGCAAGATGTGAAAATGATTTGGGCAAATTGGTCTGAGGACCTCCAACCAGGTAAGATCAAAGGGGATCTCAAGGAGTTTGCTCAGCATTTCCGACAGCTGGAGCACCGGGTGGTGCAGCATGAGAAGGATATTTGCTCTCTGATGGAGCGTCGAGCCGCTCTCCAGACCATGGCCAAAAATGGTGAAGCGGGAGAGTTGCATCGACGTCAATTGGAGGCTGATGCCTGAAATCAGGTCGTTGTGAACTTGTGTATGGTTTGGTATGACCCTTTTTTTGGCAGTTTATCAGTGTGAAGAACATCATGACCCATGAGATGTTGGAAATCCATTCTCTCCTTGTTAGAAGTTCTGAAAGCTTCAAACTTGTCATTTTTTTCACCAAATTTTCCGCCAGGTTCTGGATGCTCTCTTGGCCGAAGCCACTGAAGGACGGCCATCGCTGCGTGAGTTCTTGAGTTCTTGGGAGCAGCAATGGAGAGACCTCCTGGAGAAACGGCAAGAGCTGCGTGACTTGGAGGCTGCTGCAGCAAGCTCCATGGAGAATTCCGAAGCAAGGCACATGCCGTTGGCAGAGACGTTGGATGCAGATTGGGCTCAATGGTCCAACGGAGGAGTTAGTGAGATCGAGCGACTCATTGAGGAGTTCCTTGGTGATGCCATTTGGATAGGAAACATGCAGCTGTATAAAGAGAATGATCCTCTACCAGAATCTAATGCCGCAGCGTTCTCGTACTGTACATTTCATTATGCAAGGGTTTTCCCATGTTGATAGTTCCTTCGGTTCTGCGCTACCCCTCTCTCTCTCTCTCTTTTCAGCAAATCCCGTGCAGGATCCATCTCCTTATCCCTGCCTCTGAAAGCGGAAATCACATGCCTGGGGCCAGTGGTCTTAAACACCGTGCTAATTTTGTGCCTTATTTAGGATCTCCAGGTCGGTTTCTGTGAATCTTTGTAGAGTCTCAAGCGCAAATCTTACGTTCGAACAGATACATACAGTAGCATGTTTCATTTTCACACCGATTTGTAGTAGTTTCAAGGCCATTCCATTTCGCAAAGTCTCTTTGTTTATCTTTCTTGGAGTTTCGTTGTTGAGAAAAGGACTCTGTCTTCCAAGACTTTCAGTGGCATGTTTTTTGGCAGATCTCCCAGTT